CTCCAGGACCGTTGAGAAGCCATTTTCTAATTACGCAACATTTATCCGTTTAAAAAAAAAACCTGTTGAAAATACGCGAAATCGATGATGTTACGATTGGCTTGTGAAAATGTTGAACAAAGTGGAAAAAAAAAACCATTGAGATTGTCATATCAAGGTTGGTTATGGAGTAAGAAGGCTATTTATTTAGGATATACTAAATGGTCTGTTTTAATGTGTCACGGGCTACACGTACTGTACTATAATATCTAACAATAAAGTATTTTGTTTGCTTCATCGCCGATACTTATTACACCAATCAATCCCAGCATCCTCCCGCCTAGTGATATTTTGCTGTAAAACCGAGAAAAAGAATATTTTTTTACATTTTATTTTACCCATGCCCCACTTCACTCTGTTAACTTACCGTTCGTTCGTATCTTCACTTTGTTTACCACGAAAGTATCTCGTTGTCAAAGAGTCCGAACGGTAAAAGAAATTCTGTTTGAAACGTACAATTCTACAAGGTAGAGCCACCCTCTCCCCGCCCTTCTTTGTCCTTGAATTGCGTCTTTATTCAGCCAATAAAAGAACCTGGTTTCACGAGCCTCCGACGTTCGTCAGTCTCTTCAGTCCTTTTCTATTCTGCTTCTTCTTTTGCCTCTTAATCCCCAAAAGCACGAAGGGTGTATTTCGGGCACGAGCCGATATTTTCAATTGCTATTAATCTTTGCAGAGCTGTTCTTGCCATAGAGTGCTCTCCATACCGCAGCCACGAGAGGACAAGAATTCTCACCCTTTGTGAGTCTAAAACGGGACCCAGACAAAGGTTCCTATGCTCACCACCTAAAACTGGCTAGTAAGTAAAATAAATATACCAGGCGTGGGAGCAGCAGGCCACAGTAACCAGTTGGCCTTTACAGAGCAATGAAACAAACTTCTCTCGCGTCTAACCATAACTCGCCACTTACTACTGGCGTCTGCCCTAACCGACGTCTACTGCCCTTCATCACGCGATGCTCCATCCCGTCCTTTGCAGAAGAAGAATGTCAGTGGTCCTACCGAGTGCGCGCAACGACCATTAGAATAATTTCTAATAATAAATAGAACTGAATTACATTTTTTATCAACCCCCCACCTACCCCACGGACTATATATATATATAAAGACCTATTTCCCACGCCTATGTATATGAAAGATGCAATAGCTCATCTGGAAGTAAAGCTGCTCCAGGGTCTCTTCGATAACCCGTGAATCTTTCAGGACGCCCCAACAAAGTTTTACATCTTAAATATTCACGTTACGATGCAAAGTGTGACCCTGCCAAGGGCAAGGATAACACCCTGGACACAAAAGGGTCCTTGAACAGAAGAATCAGCCTGGGTACCCTTAACACAGAGAACATCACGATTTGGTGTTTACATAAATTCGGTCTTACCTACAATGGCAGGAACGTGCTTGCACACTTTTCATCAGTACCACCCTATACAAGGACAACCTCAGACACTTGAGCAACCTGTTCCACATCCATACGTAGGACCTATTTTTTTTCCTCAGCACAAGAGACAGCTTATTGGATTCTACGAGATGCACTGAAATTGGTTCAATCTGACGCGATTGGTACGTCAGGCAAATATTTGTTTGGTTTATCACAAGGACTGAGTTACCTTCGTGTAATACGGTTCGAGGTATTGGAAGCTCCTTCGGTAAGGATAAAGACAAGGTGGGTGTAAGTACCTAAGGCATAGTTATATCTCCTGGAGGGGTATCTATATACATATACAAGGTGTAACCATAGTAGAAGGTACGTATCTAGTAGAAGGGTAGGAGGAGGTGGACGTCGGAGTGCGTCGAACGGCAGGCAATGGCGTCGGGACGACGCGGCAGATGTGCGTGACTCAGAACGATGCCCATTCCCTCTCTTGATGAACCCTAACGTAATCTTCTCCCTCCTTCCCCCCTCCCTCTCTCTCTCTCTCTCCCTCTCGCCCCCTCTCTATCGTCCCTCACTGACTCTCCTATCCTCATCCTCCACTTTCCTCACTTACTCCCCTAGCATAAAATACTCCCAGCAGCTCAGCAGGGTGAGCGGTGAACGAATGGGGCTCGGTTGCTTTCCAACCCCTAACCAACACGACTCAAGCTGCGATCGATGGAGCGTCGCCCGCGGTGAGTAACCCGTCGACGGCCGACTCACCTAAACCGCCCACTCCCGATTCCCTCTCTCTCTCTCTCTCTCTCTCTCTCTCTCTCTCTCTCTCTCTCTCTCACTCGCTCCCTCTCCTTCCTCTCTCTCTCTTTTTCTCTATAATTTATCGGACTGATAATAAACTTTTATCCAGAAAACTCATCTCTGGAACTAATTGATCGGGACCTAGTCCTGGTGTTCGTCTTCCTCATGGATTACATCCTGATCAGTTTCTTATCCGACGGATTGCTCCATTATTGACATTGTACGAGTATGGTACGCGTGGGCAAGTCCTATTTTCAAACTGTCAGGGTCAGAACGTATTTTTCGTCGAAGATAATGGTTACGTATTAAACGCGTGGGAATAATTGATACGTCAAGTGTAATTACTAGGAACTCTCGAGAGTTCCGGGTTTCCCCGTGCGTCGGCAGATCGATTTGCCAGCGACGGTCGATGGAATGGAGAATGGCGTTAGGGGGAGGAGCGGGCGGAGAAGGGCAGGAGTCGCGGCGACGTTATTACATTACTTTTACTTCGAGGGACGGACAATAATAGAGAGGCCCTGAGTCATCTTGTTTGTAACGTGGTTGAACCTTTAGGGGGTTTATTAAATGTTGACGGACGTTATCACGATGGATCTGTTTTGTCTTATTTTTTCTTGGTACGTCGAACCTCGTCGATGGTTATCGATTATTTATGACGAGCCTTTGAACGTGTATCTATATTTGCACTTGTTGCAGGCTACGGTCGGTAATTTAAATAAAATTATTTTCCTCACTTGTATTGCACGCTTGGGATCTCTTCACTTTTCTTAATGTAATGGAATCCTCGGGTATACTTGTTAGGGGTTGGCTGGGGGTTCGGGGGGAAGGAATTTTCGAATTACATAGGTGGATGAATCTCGCCTATTAATCTACGCATTTCGTTACGCCGTGTTTTCACGATCGCGACGAATTTCATTAGCGCTCGGTCGTAGGCGCAAGCACGCGCGACACTCTCGTTCCCTCTTGCCTCTCTCTCGTATTTTGATGAGATGTCGATTACGACGAACGGCGCTGCCGTCGGGACGGATTCGCGAAAGCGTAACGTTCGTACTTTCCCATGTGAATTCTGGTTGGGAAAGTTAGGATTGCTGTGGGCTAGAATATGAGTAAGGCTTAATTTTTGAGGACGTAAAGACAATGGGTGATGGAATTGAAGTATATTCAAAGAAAGCGAAGATAAAGTGAAACGAAGTACCGGAAGAACGTTTAGGAAGACACTAGGAACGAACGATGGTGGTTCAGGAGAGAAGTCCCTGCAAGATAAAAATATTCAATCAATCCGTGACGTGAGATCGTCGGCTTACGATAAAACCGACAACCTGTTGGTATCGGGTCTCTTTTCGCGACCTTTTCAAAATCCATTGCTTTAAGAGAGCTTTTCACTTAAGGAAATCGCAGCTGCGCGTCAGCGTCGAAGAAACGTGCTATGTACCTTTTTATGAGGGTTCATCATCTTCAGTGCGTTAACACGGTTTTGGGTATTCTCTTGATATGCTTAAGCGCCGTTATAGCATCAATTGGTACTTTTTAAAAATTTCTCTAAAGACCATTTTTTTACTCTTATATTGCCATCCCTTACCATTTGTCTCTTTTGGAATCAAACGCATCCCCAAATGGTTCCTGAGCGTCGTGAATGTATATGCGGAATGGCTGGGGACGTACAAAGCGCACGTATCCGCATGACTACGTTGGATTGAATAGAGTCAGGAACTCGGTAGAACGAGTACGATCAGGAGGTGGCGAAGCATCGAATTGTGGGTGAGGGAATAGACGGAAAAAGAAAGAGAGACGGAAAGAAAGAAAACGGTTGGGAACCTTTCGTTGGTAACTCGTAGAGCATCATCCCTCTGGGAAATCAGAAATGCGGCATCCACGGAACGAATTCGTCGGGACGGATGCGATGGTTTTCATCAATAATGGGTGAACCCGCTTTTCCGTGAGAGCCAACGGCGCGTTACAAACTGCCAAACATCCGCGAGAAGATATCGTTTGTTTCTTTTTCTAGGAATGCTGCTTGACCACATTCGGCAATATTTGATATTGGTATGCGTCGACCTTATCTTTTAAGTGGACCCTTGGAAGAGATGAAAATCAAAGAATCGTATTCGCCCAATTTCCTTTGTACCTTCACCGAATGTAATCTCTGCAAATTGATATTGGAGATATTGTCAAAATATTCATATAAGCTACTTTAAATACGAATAGAAGCAGGTCGGCTGTATCTCTGGTTGCGTATGGGCAGGCGCACACGATCTAAGAATGTGGATTGACACTTTTCATAGGCCGATGATACCCAGGAATTTGTGCATGTCAGGTTGCCTATTGACAGGCGGTCGACCATGGGAGAACACTTTTTATTCAAATTTAATTGGAATTATTGCCTGAGAATTTAATAATTATTTGATAGCTACGGCATCTATGTTGCCTAAATATTCCTAATCTATTTAGTTCAATGTCAGGTGGTGACACTGTTTGCGAGTTTGAAGAGTGACTTATTTTCAATCATTTTTGAATCAATATCCATATTGACGTGTCTTACAATGCCGAAACTGTGAATTCTGGTTCGTATTAATATTTCAAATTCATTTTACATGGTAAGCTTTTTAAATTTTGTATGGATTCAGGGAAGAACCTGTATTTTCAATCACAGAATTGATTGCAATACGTTACTGATTTTTTGTTGGCATACCTCAATTCTTTCGGACAAGGGTAACTCGTTTACGTTGGAGCATTCGCGTTGACAGTGATGTTATTCAAAATTTGTCATTATAATTCAAAAGTAACATACATTTTTGAGGTTGATAACGCAGCAAATTTTCCTTCTTCTTCTTCCTTTCTTATTCCATTATCACCCCCTGTAGGGAGTATATAGTAGCATTGTCTGAGATCAGAAAATTCTTCTCTTTTGTAATATGACTGCATTATTTTAAGAATTTTCCTTCTGAAACATGTGCCACTTGCCGCCATCTGTCGGAGTAATTTTGGCCTCAAAGCTTGATTCTGCACACACATCGTTCCTTTCCCTAATTTTGTTCGTCGGAAAGTTAGCGTCAAAAGATACAAATTTATATGTTTTTAATGCCAAAGCTCTGTCCGGCAAGCTTCACGTTCGTGATCAACTGATCATGTTCAGCTCGGATACGACGGGATATGTATTATCGACGGAGGCGATGATCACAAAATTCTACTCCCGGACTCGCCGCTATGATTAAGCGCCATGCTTTTGGTATCGCCAAAAACCGTAGCGTTTGTGCATCTCCCTACTCATCTCTGGCAGTGATTGTGCGATTCCCGATCTCAAAGTGCACAAGTTCATGGATCAGACTAGTAGGAAAATGGTGGTCGTATAGTGGGGTGATGTGTACGTGGAGCTTAACGCAAGTAATAATAATCGAAGGAGAAAGGTCCGTTATCGCGTGAAGTAATAACGTGGAGAAGAATAGGAAAAGGGAGAAAAATATGGGTGACACCAAAATCCAACACGGTGCTCAAGAGATGAAAGGATGGCTCTTTAAATGGACCAATTATCTGAAAGGATACCAACGAAGATGGTTTGTGCTGTCAAATGGCCTTCTGTCATACTACAGGTATTTTGTTAAATATTTATTATGTGCCACTCCGTTATCCTACCATGGCGTACGCGTACAGCCTGGGTATTACACTTGGCATTTACCACTCCTGTATTATCTATCATCAAATGATTACTATGTTGTTGATAATCCCTTGTCCGAAAGTCCTGTCCTTTTTATGATACGTAGATCGTTTCTTGGGATTCCTTAGGATCGACTGATTTTTTGACGTTTTCTTTTTCTCATTTATTTGATCGCGTCGCTTAATTTCTATTCGAGTTCTGTGATATGTTATTTATAATTTTTTTTATATTGTATATCAATATTCGCAAGACATTGATGACGTAACGTTTTTTCGTTCCATTGATGTTGTAAACTTGGCACAGCATGTTCCTTCTTTTGCCATATGTAAACATCTACGGAGTACACATGAATTTATATTATCCTTTCAAACAATTCAATTGGTTTTCACATACAATGTAACACAAGTCCATATAGTTATGATTCATATTTACTATAACGTTGCAAGTCCTGAATGTTATTTTTCTTTTCCTAAAATGTTTTTGTTGTTTCATAAGACATTGCAGACATATATGTAACAACATTTTTTGGCTGCTGAATATGGCTAACAAACATATAACAGTGTTTTTGTCAATTTACACTTGTGCTGGTAGCATAATATGATTTAATGAAAAAATTTCATTGTACTATTAGCATGTACAATTTTTACTTTACTTTCTATTGTTTCATATTTATGGTGTTTCTTGTGAGGTTCATATGCATATTGTATATTATTATTTTGAGATCTATTTTAAAACAATGATTAAGAACACATACTGTTTTTAACAACTGTGCTTTACAAGTTTCAATGTTTGACGTATCCATTGGATTGCTGCCTGCAGCATTTTCCATGTTATAATCGTTAGATCGTATTCCATTATTCTTTAAAATAAATTCCATTGGCACTCTTAACTATTTTCTACTCTTTATTATTTAATTCTTACCCCTTACTATGTGTTATGAGCTATACTGGATAAACAGACAACTGTAAATCACAGCAATATCGCAACAAAAGCCCAAAACAAACAGACTGTACAGTAAAACAAATAAACAAAACATACAAATAAAATTTTCTCAATAGAAAAAGTTATGCACAAAGTGAACAGGGCCTATTTGTTTTGTGGATTGTTTAGGGCTGAACCGACAGGGGGGCCAAAGATTTCGACTCGTCGGAAGCGGAGGGCTGGCAGAGCCTCCGAGTAAGTAAAAAGCAAAAAACAAGAGAGAAAGAAACAAATAGAAACCGTATCGCCACACGTCCTGATCATCCTGAAAACGCATTGAAAAGGGATAATGAGTGATCTGGAGAATTCTCATTACATCTACAACAGTTCTCACCTAAATCCTTTCCTTTACCTTTAATAATTCAAAATTAGATTCATTATAATACCCCAATTAATGGGGTATCGTCATTAATATTTTATCTTTCGTATCCTCTATTTTTATTCCTCGAGACCCTATTGATATTAACTTTGCATTCTTTTTCATTATTCTTCTCATTGTTTTATGTTTCAATACCCAACCACAAGAAAGTATTTGCCTCTGTGCGTTATTGCATATGCAAATTCTTGTCATAGCTTTTCTTGTATGTCACATTAACAATCACCATGTGCCTATTATTTTCCATTTAATGCCTGTCATGCATTTAGAACGTTTCACATCAAGATTGTGATTATTTTTGACATTATTGCGGAGTTGGTCAAAGTTAATACTGCCTTCTCTATCATCAAATTGCTACGTTTTATTATATAATGTGATGACTAACGTGAGATTATTAATAGTCATGGGAATCAAGGCTTCGATCTTGAATTATTTCTAAGTGTATAATTTATGTATTGCCATGCTATCTTTTGCTCTATTGTTTTATTACTGCAAGATACTGTTATTCATTCAATACTTTATATACATTACATAGCTATTCTATCTTGGCATTTTGTCATGAAATGTATATTGGAAATTTTATTCTATGACACTTTACATTCTCACTGTTACTACACTGCGCTTCTTGTTGCAAATAGCTTGTCTCGCCTCAAGTTATATTATTGAAGCCTTCTTTGTGAACGTCTTTTCAGATTATGTAGGGTACAATTGATCATTTTTATATCTAGTTATGGAATCATATGTGATACACGTGTAACTTGCGATGTTCATTTCTTAAGCGAACAATGGTGCCACTTGTAGAAGACGTATATGGCAATTTTTTTTTATTAAACAGGCTTCTTTTTTTAGTTTTAACTACCTAAGCTTTTGCAGGATTAATAAGGAATTATTTAACCCTGACTTTGAAATTATTGATAGATCAATAATATATATATTTTTTTTTAATGTTAGAAAAAGTGTACCACTCTTCTATTATATCTATTCCAGCGTATCCATAAGAATTGGGAATATTTATAATTGAGAAACTCGTGATATAAGGAATAGATTGAAAATGTGAAGATCATAAGATTTAAACGGCTATGAGACATTCTACAGTATCCGTCTATCTTAGTATTTTACGCAGAGTGTCAAAGAGCAGTAACTTATAGGAAATAAGCATACCGCTGTTTATCCCAATGTCTATATAAACATCATTGCTTCTTAAGAATCCATAGATTCAAGTATCAGTACTATCATAAACATGTATGGATATTCATAAGTTTAATGTGATGTATCGAAGCATTCTTGAAAGAAAATGAATTTGTTTCTTATAAAGAATTGAACAGCAGTTTAGCTTTATCATTTGCAGTACCAAATGCACTTGCCTTTATTCCAATAATATCTAACACATCATCCATGTCATGGAACAAGACACAACAAGTGCATACAATCCCATAGACAGTTTCAAAAGAGTACAAAAAATAACAGCATAAATCAGTCGATAAGTCACTCATAATGGAGGAGTTCATCCTGGTACCTAATGTCTATACCATCACTGATAACTACTAGGTATTATCGTAAAAGGACTCGTGGGTCTCTCTTGTATGTTTAGGAATCCAGCAGAAATGTCTCACACGTGTCGAGGCACAATATCATTACACGGAGCTTTGATACACACCGTGGATGCGTGCACATTTGTTGTGAGCAATGGAGGAACTCAAACCTTTCACATCAAGGCTGCTACCGAAGTCGAACGACAGCAATGGGTTACAGCTCTAGAACTTGCAAAAGCTAAAGCCATCCAAGCTATGGAATCTGGTTCGTATTTCAATAACAATTTTGTTATTCATAATAATTTCTAATAAAATTAGGAGCCTCGTCTTTAGCTCTGCTACATGTGAGAACGCTTTGTTTCAGAAGAAGATGAGGAGGACTATCAAGACAATGACAATCAGAGAGGAGAGCACGCCTCTATTGTAAAGGACCTGACGGATCGCTTAGAAAATCTTCAAACTTGCAATGACCTTATAACTAAACGCGGTGCTATGTTGCAACGCGCTTTGAACGATCTTGAATCGTTGGAGCCACCTAGTCCAGAGCTTGCCGCGAAATTTAAGACAGTTAGCGAGAGAGCAACACTCTTTAGGATTGCTGCGAATGCTATGATCAGTGTACGTCGCAAGAGATGGATAATTGATACAAGAATGTCGTCTGATATTAGTGTCAATCAAGTATATTTGTCTCTGCGCTTTTGACTTCAGACAAGCAACGAGTACTTGCATCTGGCACAGCAACAAGAACCCAAGTGGCAGAAGATGCTACAACACGAACGTGACCAGAAGGTGCGAATAGAGAAAATGGTTGAACAACTGGCTAGGCAACATTCTCATTTAGAGGAAGCCGCGCAGCACGCCCTGCCTTCGGCAACTCCAGCAGGAGGACACAGATCTTCTCGTAATTTCATACTTTTATTTGTTATACTTCGCCTGGCTTTCGATTGCTTTCGCGTGCCCACATTTTACTATCTCGGCGTTCATTTGCCAAATGATTTTTGTGGTTTAATCATATATATCACTGTTAATGTATGGCGTGAATACTGCTACTTATCAATAGTATTTTATTCTGAAAAATCGACGTATCGAAACGAGTCATGTACTCTGAACGTTATTTTGCATGCAACGCGTGAAATATTATCTATAATAGTGGGAATTATTAACTTCAGTGCTTGTAGGCAGAATAATATTAACCAATTTTTTATCTTAATAAATATATTGCCAAAACAACACTACGTATAGACGTTTAAAGCACGTCGTGATTGGAGTACAATGTATTAATTGTTGTACGTTGTTTTACGTGATTGTTGCTTATAATGCATCTTGCTATATGTATACAGACTAGATCCGAAAGCTCAAGCGTTCGCGCAATTTTAATAAATTCCTACGGAACTTACTAGATGGCAGCTGAGTAGCTTATGTGTAGCCATCTAGGAACTTTGTGCAATAACCAAATGTCGTATGTGTTCTGTGGGGCTACGTGTAGTAGATTCCTTATTCACGGGCGTGTACCACCGTGTGTTTTATCCTAGTTCGACGTGCTATTGGCACAGATGGCCTTGCAAGTTGTCATTCATATTCTTTATCATACCGGAACTTCTTTGCCAAATTGCTTGTAAAATTCAAAGTTAACTGACTGATAGATGTGATCGTCGATGTACTCGAATGACTGTGTAGGTGAACCCGCGAGACATCATTTGACCCGGATTGATTAGATCTTGACACTCGGATGCTGCTAATAGAGGTTTATAATTTTCAGTAACAGTTTTCATATTCAGTCTTAACCAGAGAACGTCACGTAACGTTGCTGTCGACAACGTGTATATTTAAATTGGCTGTTATGATGACACCTTACTTCGTTCTACAATGACAAATAATTGTATATTCACTTAGAAGATAACTTCTTATAGAGTGGAAATACCTTAGTCAAAAGACCTTGCTTGTATATATTTTTTTTCTTATGTCGTGTATAGACACAACAGTGAACACATCTCCATCAGAGGATGAAGAGGACAATGTCGAGTTCTATGATGCCCAGGAGTCGGATACTTTTACACTGAATATTCCTGGGACTACGGGTAACTCCATCTCTCATGGTCGAGATAGAACAGATTCCCAGGGCAGCGATGATGGATCTAGTTCTGAAGGAGATCAGACTCATTTACCTGGCATAGATCCTACAAGAACGGATTCTTACCACATAGTAACTGATTCTACAGTCGTTCCATCTTCTACCACGGGTGCTACTAGAGACGATCTGGATAACGCGGGCGTTCCTCCTGAGGTAAATGTAATAACTGACTTATATTATTTTGAAAATTTTATATTGTGTGGAAATGTAATTATATATTATTTTTATGCTGCGAATAGGCAACTTGGCAAACAAATAATGGCGGTGGGACGCCCAGTGGCACCAGGGTGACAACAGTAGCGAAAAGAAAGCGTAGAAACAGGGTGCCAGATAAACCAAATTATCCGCTTAACTTATGGAGTATTATGAAAAATTGTATTGGCAAAGAATTGTCAAAGATACCAATGCCTGTTAATTTCTCTGAACCGCTTAGTATGCTCCAAAGACTCACTGAGGATTACGAATATGCTGAAATACTTGACAGGTACATTATTTTATATATGTATTTTTTAGATGTAAAATTAAAGAGAAATACTTAGTGTCTTACTCTAATTCACAGAGCTGCAGAATGTACCGACAGTTTAGAGCAAATGGCATATGTTGCCGCTTTTACGGTTTCCAGTTATTCGACAACATCTTCTAGAACTGGAAAGCCATTCAATCCATTGCTAGGAGAGACCTATGAATGTGATCGTACAGATGATTTGGGATGGCGTGCAATTTCAGAGCAAGTTTCACATCATCCGCCAATGGTGGCCCAATTTTGTGAAGGTCGTAAGTGGCGTTGTTGGCAGGAATTTACAATGGGTTCAAAGTTTCGTGGGAAGTACCTACAGGTAAAACATATTACTTATTATAATTTATAGCTATTATTGTATGCAGCTGTGATACATCCATCTTCAGCTTCAGTAATCGAAATAATAAACTTGTATATCATCAGATAATTCCACTCGGCACTGCCCACCTAGAGTTCAATACTGGAAAACAACATTATACATGGCGAAAGGTCACAACGACTGTTCACAATATTATAGTAGGAAAATTGTGGGTGGATCAAAGTGGCGATATGGATATCATTAACCACGCTGAGGGCATACAATGTCATCTCAAGTACATCCCGTACTCCTATTTCTCAAGAGATAGCCAACGGAAAGTTAAAGGTGTTGTAATGAACTCAAATAAGGAGGTGAAATGGGTCGTGCAGGGCACATGGGATTCCAAGATTGAGATTGCTCCTGTTATCAGCACATCTGGTCCACCTGATAATCCTGTTTATAAAACAGGGCCTTACATCCTGGCCTGGAAACGTCGTATGCCTCCGTGAGTGATAATGATATTTATCAAAATATATTTTTAATTCTTATTTGCGGATGAATACGACTTAATGTCAAATTAATCTTACAGAGAGGATTGCGAAAAGTATTACTTCTTTACGGAACTAGCTTGCCAGCTAAATGAACCCGAGGAAGGTGTAGCGCCAACCGACTCCAGGCTGCGACCTGATCAACGATTAATGGAGAATGGACTCTGGGATGAAGCCAATGCACAAAAGCTTCGACTTGAAGAGAAACAACGCGCTGTGAGACGGGCGCGAGAACACGAAGCTGAGAAAGCAATGGAGCAAGGTAAAATTCTCATTCTTAATTAAAATAAATTGCAATTATACACTATTGAATGCGTTATTAAAAATATATTCTTAATTTCATCAATTTTTTAGGTTTGCCATATGAAACTTATGAACCAATATGGTTCAAGAAGCAACAGGATCCATATATGGATACCCTCTGTCACATGTATAACGGCGAATACTGGGATTGCAAGAACAAAGGCGATTGGTCGCGATGTCCAAACATATTTTAGTCTGTTATTTAAATTCTTCGCTCACCGCAAAGAACAAGCGATTATAGCGGGTGTGGCGGATGGTACGACGAGTTCTGACAAACGTAGTGAAATAAATAGCAGAAGAAAGGGATATATGGAACATGAGAAGGAAACTCGGTAATGGACTAATTCTCCCAAGAGCAGACGAATTGAAACATAAGAAACTAAAAACAAACATTGGTATCTTCATTGCTTAGACGGGCATGAATGTTTTTTGTACGACATTACTTCCTCGCTTGCCAGACAAAAAATAAGGATAATGAAAAACACTTTGTCTCTATTAATTCTCATTCTTTTCGCGCATCAAGCTGCAATCATTTGTATGTATCTTTCTCGTCGCGGTAACTGATCGTGCCGATATTATATAAAAATCATAACGTACAAAGGATATCTAACGTACGCGATTGGACAACAGACTTTCGTTACGATTCTGCAATTCCTCAGTCCTTACGAAAACGTCCGTATTTCATGAACACTATATATACCGAGTAGTCCAATTAAAAGTAGGTGTCGTAGGCAATGCACTTAATTGCTGTCGATACTTTTGGCTGGGCAAGCCGGTATATAAAAACGAACATTACAAAACCCAGGAATGAATAGTCGACGAGTGTGATTACTCATTAATTCGTCAATATCAGGATAAATTATTGTAAATACAGTTATAGAGGGTTTTATGTAAGTGTTGGGAATAAACTTTTAATTATCTGTGTAAATATACAAATCGGGGTCGGCAGATTGGCCATTTCTGCGCTTATCACGAGTGTAAACGAAACGAAATGAACACCATAATTCTTAATAGTAACGATTTTCTTGATTTATACTTCATACGCAGACCGACATCTTCGTTCCCACGTCGTTAGTTACGTATTTACAATAGTTTCAATTGTCCAGCGAAAAATGGTACAACAATAATTCATATCGTAAGCTCCAAATCAGTGTTTAGAGTGACGAGAAAACCAAGAAAGAAAATAGAGAACAATTAATATATGGTTTGATCATCCACTGGGAGTCTTTTATTCCATTGTCCAACTACGATGTATGCCTAGATAATATGATATACCGGACGGTCCTTAAATTATTTTAATCATTATAAAATAATAACAATAAATCACGTTCCTGTCCGCACCGATTAAATAAGTATGCAAGGAGAAGGAGGGGGGGGGGAGAATAGTAGTAGGCAGTATGCAAGTGTCACTGCAGCAATACAGAGTCTACAAGGAAGAAGGATAAAGCCGTAAAGTGCTTGAATTTTTGTATTAAGAAAAAACAAACAGTAGAAGAGAAAATAAAACTATGAGGAAAATGCAAAATTAACTTATAAATAGTAAATGCCCAAAATTATAGCGTCGCTGCGGACTTCGTGCGATATGATTCTGTGTACAGTGAATAAAAAAGAGACACTAGGCTTGCGCAACGAGTTTCATGGAATTTCAGTGTGGACAAAAGGGGAGCGTGCTTTGCACCGTTATCTAGAAAATAAGGGTTGCTAAGAGAATGGAGAATTAGTAACAAACATTTAATAAATTGAAGAGAGAAGGAACAAAATAAAAAAATAGATAGCGCACGAGCTTCCAAACTATTGATTTAAAGAGGCTTTAAAGGCTTTGTACACATTATTACTACAAATCTTTCCTACCCACAATCTATATTTGTTAATATCTACTAATAATATTATTGAGGAAACCATCCTACTGTATATCCCTAATTACGTACTCACAAGGATACTACACAGGCTGTTTCCGTCGAGACATCCCTCGTTTGAGACGTGTGCGCGTGAAAAAGATTAGAGATAAAGAAAAAAGAAATAGATATTGCGAATTTGACAGCAAAAGAGATGCGACCTAGTTTGACATTGAGAGAAACGGCCGACACTACAGCTAATATTTACAATTAATTGTTATACATTAAATCTGTACAATTATATCAGGCTGTATTATAATTTTAATAGTTGATCATGATGATGATTATGAAAAAGAAGGAGATGATATATTATCTGTATACATATAAATATGAAGTAACTATGAAATAAATAATTTAACAGAAATAATTGTAACTTGGATAGACACAATTGTTTGAATAATAGTGCTTGTATGGTAGATACATATTCATTTGAGAAGACAAATACAATTGCTTCGCTATAAGGAGTTGCTCCTTTGTAAAATTCATTCGATATGATTTTTAGTGTATCTGCCTCAGTTGTAAAAGTGCCTGCAAACTTCCTTATGCATATTGTAATGTAATGTCAATTTTCAGCAAGAATACAGCATTTTTTTTACAGCTTCCTGTCTTCCGATATCTGAAATAACATGCTATTTTTTTCCATTTTTTTTAAGTATCCTTAACAATTTAACAGAATAATTCCTTCTTGACATTTAATTTGCAAGAATGTTATTGTCTGCTGTTACAATTTCAAACTAAAAAGAATTAAATTTCCAATAAAACAAGTAATTTGTATCTATTAATTAATTGTAACAGCCAACTGTTCTCAAGTCTGCAGATGATTTAAATTTCAAATAGGAACTCTGGTAAGAGGTGTTTCAATGTTATAAGCAAAGTGAGTAATATGTAAATAGTTATTGCTGTAAAGTAACTGATAAAAAGTAAAAATTTATTTGATATGTCTAGAGTATCTGATCATTGAAAGCTATTCTAAAGAAGCATTATCCAGGCTAAGTAAACCATTGTAAAGGAAGCACTGAAAAGATAAAAAGATGTTCTAGCAGTCGACCATTTGGTACAAGGAGAAACTAGGAAAGACGAACGGCGGCGCTTCGAATCTCCATCCTTAAAGAATTCTGATTGGTCGACAAATAGGTTTTCCTGGCCGGCTTACGACGCCATTGACGTCGATACCGTTCACCGGCATTCAAATGCTCGAAATAAATATTCATAAATTAAACGAATAATAATCGTATGGGTATAAGAAAACATCTAAAGTTTTATTTACTTTGGAGTAGTTCTGAAGCAAACGAGATCGACTACTGTCGTGTCTTGAAACGCTCCTAAAAGTACCGAAAAAGAAGTCGAAAGAGTGCTAAAGGTGCGCGCCTGATGACGTCAGGCGCAGTAATACACAAAATTGTTGAGTACCGAGTGGAGGGTCTGGCGGAGTCTGCGCATTTGAGGAACTGCTTTCGATTGTTGGCGGGCGCCGCCATCTTGGTCAGTGAGCTTGCGAGCGGCCGTCCGAGGAGGTGTTCGTATTTCGGTGATACGTATCTGGTGCGAATCCTCGAATCCTTTTGGTCTATCCGTGAAATCCGCTAGCATCCAGGATGTCGGGGCGGGAGGACAACGTCTACAAGGCGAAGCTGGCCGAACAGGCGGAACGCTACGATGGTGAGTAGTTATTTTCTGCAAAAGACCGACACGACTCCCTAAAATCCATGAAAACCCATGTATGCCCGCCTGGCCTCTACAACGTCTCATCGCATCCGCACGCCACCGTTGTCGTTGACGCCGCCCGTATTCTCTTCGCAGCGTCTAAAAGATAATCAGGAACACTATGATAGTACAGTAATGGATTCTCTAAGCGTCACGGCATCGGATATCTCGTAGGATCTGTCAAGAGTACCGACGAAACGTCAAAACTGACTGATCCGCGCGGCGCGCAATGCCGGCCCGCCTCGAGGCTCGTATTCGCGACCCTCCCTTTATCAGCCATCTAGACAGAGACTCTACGTCGTAACTATTCTACGCACTTTCCCGAGGACCTTCCTCTGGAGGAGTGGTTTATACTTTCGTTGAGCTCTTACTTTTAGAACTCTTTATGGAATGCCGGATTTCATGGCAGCGTTGCTAGGCGTGTGTACGGGGCCCCCTCGTAGATAACCGCTCGAGTCGCTCCTTCTCTCTGAGTGACGCATAGACACGACACCCACCGATCGCCAGCCAGGCCACTCAGCCAGCCATCCAGCTTACTACGTACGTAATAACGTGCGAGCTCGTGGCTGCTGGCCTTGAAGTCACTCTAAGAAATAAACCCTGTGTTAAATAATTCTTTTCAATTCTTTACACACGACGCACAGAAGAAAATTAATACCTATAGATGACGCCGCTAGCTTTCACTGAATTTTCATCTGCTTACCCATAGTTGCTGGGCTCGCTCTCCTTTTTCCCCCCTTCATCGCTCACGCTTCTTTTTATATTTTCATTATTCACCGGTTGTCCTGGATCCTCTCTCAGTCTCTTACGTTTGATCCAAACAATGCTGTTGCTATTACCGCTACAGATACAATCCCGGTTGCCAACAATTTGCCAACCGTGGAAATAACCTGGTCGTCATTGTCCATGCTCTGTGTTCAGTAGCGTGTACGATATTCGTTGAGTGTCTCAGAGAGAAGGAACAGCACGCCGGTAATTTTTTTTTTTATTGTTCACCGTGGCGCACGAGAATGCCACTCTCTTCAGTCTTCACGACTCCTTGACTCTGCTGTTCCTTTACGAATAAAATCGATGAGGACTTTTAAAGAGCCCCAAGGCGTCATTTGGTTTCCTTTGATATTATTTGCTTTTCCCGGACTACTGTATGTCCTACGTGTGTATATATATCTTATGTTTCCTTCTCAGACGTCAATTCTTTTGGATGATTTTTTTGGCAGACATTCTTTTAAATCCTTTCTTTCTCACTCTAGCTATTTCTTTTCTCACATCTAGCGTATACCTTACTAGTTTGTATCCGCCATAGTTTACTCAGATTATACAGCGACTACTCACGTGACAGATTATTCCTGATAATTTTTCGTTCTCATTACGCTGCGAGGTGACCTAAAATTTTCTTATATTTGCTACGCGAAAAATAGGTACTATCGATTTTATGCTCGGCATTCAACGCTGCGCCAGCACTTTTCATTCTTCGTCTTCTATCATTGAGGACTGATAAAAATGATCAATTAACTTCTTGTGTCGCAAGTTACTCATGATCAGATTCCTATCGTGCACGCTGTTTCCTAAGATCCGAAGGGACAGCTGTAAGCATTGTGATAAAGCAGGTCTTTTACACGAGTATTGAAACATTTAAATATTTTTAATCGTATTTTTTATTTTTAATTTCTCTCTTTACGTCCTTTCGTTAATATTAATAATCAATATCTAAGACAGACACTTCTATATGTTCATTCAGGACACTGGAACCCACCATGAAAAAATTATACATGTCCTGTGGCTTAGGCGTGAAAAGTCTGTATGATTATCGATGGGTGAGCCAGCTATATTCTTCTGCGAATTTATGTTTGACATTCTATATTGTCCGAACGAGAAAATTGTGCAGAATATATATATATATATACACCACACATATTTTATATATATATATATATATAACACGAAGAGAAGAAGCGGCATGGCGAAGCGAACGCATCAGAGCGTAGAAGCGTATGAACTTATTAATCGTTTGAAAATGTGTAAAGGGTGCGATATATTTATAAGATCTTGCCATAAAAGGAAGGGGTGTAAAAGGTAGGGGTTAAATTTGAGGGTTGCAAGAGCAGCCAGAGAGAGGGTGAGCTCCGCAACGGGCTGAGAGAACGAAGGGAGGTCATAGCTGAAGGAAAGTATTGATCTGTGCCTGCTATCCTCTGTTCCTGTATACCTCGACCGGTATACCGCGTTGCGACTAACTTTACACCTTATTATATAAAGTGTATGGTTTTCCAATTAAATCCTTCTATTACAGTATATCCTCGTAATGTTCTTTCGTATTTTCGAAAAAGAATCTCATGACGGAATCCTAGATAGAAAATGAGCTATGAAGCTTAACCATTATAGTACAATGATTTCTACTAGTCATTGGTCGGTGGATGGTCGGCCTGCTGAGAAAGATACTACAATTTTGACCAATTGTAATTTTTTTTTCTTTCGAAATGGATTAATTAATTGAATGATCAATTAAAAACTGATTCGTTTTGCATCAGGGAATTAGAAATTTCATCCCTCGTATTTTCCATTACGTCGTAACGTTAATGTAAATTGGAAAGTATATAATGGACTGTGATAATTAATGTGAACCGATGGTACTTTTACAGAGATGGTCGAGGCTATGAAGAAGGTGGCATCGCTGGACGTGGAGCTGACCGTCGAGGAGAGGAATCTGCTGTCGGTAGCGTACAAGAACGTGATCGGTGCGAGGAGAGCTTCCTGGCGGATAATATCCAGCATCGAGCAGAAGGAAGAGAATAAGGGAGCTGATCAGAAATTGGAGATGATCCGCCAATATCGATCTCAGGTCGAGAAGGAGCTTAGGGATATCTGCGCTGATATCCTCGGCGTCCTGGACAAGCATCTAATCCCATGCGCCACCACCGGCGAATCGAAAGTCTTCTACTATAAAATGTATGATAAAATCTCTTAGGATACCGTGGTGATATTTTAATTCAGGATATGACATGATTTTATTTTATCGTCGACAATTGCAGGAAGGGCGACTATCACCGTTACTTAGCAGAATTCGCGATTGGCAACGACAGGAAGGAGGCTGCAGAGAATTCCCTGGTGGCGTACAAGGCGGCCAGCGATATTGCCATGACGGAGCTACCGCCGACTCATCCCATTCGTTTGGGATTAGCCCTGAACTTCTCGGTCTTTTACTATGAGATCCTCAACAGTCCTGACAGGGCGTGTCGCCTTGCGAAGGCAGCCTTCGACGACGCCATCGCCGAACTCGACACCCTCTCCGAGGAGAGTTACAAAGATTCCACTCTTATCATGCAACTCCTCAGGGACAATCTCACCTTATGGACCTCGGATATGCAAGGAGATGGTACGTATCATGTTATTCCTGGAGAGACACATCCGCTCGAGTATACCTCACGAATATGTAGACAGTCCCTTTATTTACTATTATATCCAGTGTACCTTAACGCTTATTGCAAGTGTATTTACCCTCGAATTTAGAATCAGAAACTGAACAACCAACTACTCAAGGAGATGGTGCCATACCGATAACTACTGATTCCCATCCTTAACTGTGTATCCCTGAACGTTCGCATTCCCTGCTCCGGGTTAAGTTCCTGTATGTATGTAGTAGTCCTAAGCGATTATTATCTTATCCTTGTTTAATTGTATATCAATAATAGCTAGATGTTTGTTCGATATCAAGTATGAATCTCGGATGTTATCTCTGTTGATACAGGCGAAGGCGAGCAAAAAGAGCAGCTGCAGGACGTGGAGGATCAGGATGTGTCGTAACTCTAGCTGCAGTGAGTGTTATTCGCGCATAAAGATGAAACACAACAAAAAAAACTCTTAATAATTATTAAGCAAAAGAAAAGAATTCAGCAGGTGGGTGGTCAGGGGTGGGTATTCGAATGGGCGGAAAAGTTAATGTAAATGGATGTTGAGGACAGAGCTAGAGAGAACAGGCAAGAGATTGACATCGTAAGAGAAAGGTTTTTTTTTTTGGTAATGAGGGGTAAAAGCGGAAAGATCTTTCAAAGCGTTTATATGACCCTAAGTACATACGTACGGTTTACTCCAAATTCATCAAATCACACGTTCAGTTGCGGAGCACGCAGAAAGTAATGTAAATGACACACCCCGCGTTAATAGTGAGATTTCAAGCATTTAATTAAAAAAGCGAGGAAACTTTTTTTCATATTTCGTCTCGTGCCTCGTAAGGTCGAAATAAAATGAGAGAAAACGAGTAGTGCGTCTCATTGGACGCTTTCATTCTTCTTCCTCTTCTTTTTTATTATTATTATATACTATGTTATTATTATTCATTTACTTTCCACGTCCATGTCACCCATCGATACGCGCGTAAGTCCTGACTGAAATTCCTCTGAGCGGCAACCATCATCCCCCTTTATTTATACGACTCTCAGCGTATATAAACTCGTCCACGACAAATGCAAGACGCTTTTATGGTTCAATCGATTTTTCAAAAAAAAAAAACAAAAAACAAAAAAATGGTAAAAATATACTGATACCTCGATTTTTTTTCTTTTCTTTCATTTATTCAAGATAACGTGCGCATAACTTGCCTCGTATACCTTTATAATCATAACATGGAGTAAAAATTGGTAGAAGCACGAGGGAGAGAATCGCATTCGAATCGCATATCCAAAATCTCAATGATATTCCGATTGGTTACGAGATATACTATTAACGCGCATTATACGTATAAATACTCTAGTTACGTGTCTCTTGATAATCTAATAAAACGAAAGCAAAAGAAAAGTAAGAGATCCTTTGAATGCCGTGCGAAAATTTATCACTATTGTCGCGTGCGAAATTTGTCATTATCACTGGAGTGACAGAATTTTTGTCAAACGAATAATATATCATCAAAATTGTACAGAAAAGAGAAAGAGAGAGAGAGAGAGATTGAGATTGAGAGAGCGACTGCGCATAGAGAGAAAAGAAACTTGACGATGTCGAGGATAAAAAAGTTAAAGAAAGAAGGAACGATAGAATGAACCGCCAGGATATAAGAAAAGCATTTCGATTTATTTAATTCAGTCTTCTGCCTAGTATTACGCTGTACTCCAATAAAAACTTATTGCAGGTAAATAATCGTATGTTGTTCCACTACTGGATGCTCAATGAAACGATGTGTAGTCCTTCCTCTTGTACTCTGCCGTCTGTCTGCCGATATACGTGAGTCTCTAATGCCGCCCACGCGTACGTTACTACGAGAACGCGAGAGAAATCATGCTGGTAGATGAACGAATAGGAAACACACGCCAGACACACAGCACACCACATTAAAATAACAGAAATGGGAAAGGTATCACCTGGAGACGTGGAATATTCTTGGTTGTTATTTTTCATGCTCCACTCCAGTCCCCACGTACCCATGGCTCTCGTACATGTCGAGCGTCTTCCTGAACAAAGAGACGCGAGAAAATACGAAAAATCAAGCAACGACGATATAGTATATAAAAATCAAAGAAATGAAAATGCGAAAAGTAATAATAATTAAAGCACGGTGTGTCGGTGATTATGAAAGCCTGTTTAGTATTGTATTCGTATCAGAAAGAAGTAAGAAGAAAATAATATGAAATCGGCTAGTTAGCCCCTCAATGTCAATGTACGTTTGCATACGTTTCTCTTATGTGAACTGTATTATTGGTAGCTGTGGTATGACAGAAAATTACAGAATAAAGTGGCTCTCTGTATCCTGTTTTATTCTCTCTTTCTCTCTTAATTCATCTCTTGATCTCGTATCTACCAATTGCACTATATGTTTTCACCGTCTGATTATCATACTATTCACCATTGCTGCTCCTTGTGCGATTTCCTTTTTTCACGCAAATACTGACCTTGTTCTTGGGTAATGATATTCGCTCAAGGATATCAGGTAGATTCGTTTTGAATGTTTTTCATCCAGTTAATGACAGTAGACGTAATAACGTTTATAGACCATCATAATAATTAATAACGATCTCGTGTACACGATCTCAGTACGAGCAAGTCTCAAGCTGTAGGGATTTTAATCGAGCGACTGTTACTCAAAGAGGAATTGAGAGAGGGGGAGAAGTCGAAATGTAACCTAAAGGAAAAAATAAATGACACGTATGTTGCGCTTCACGATGTTGCTGTGGCTCTCGTAGATGAAGTCAGTACTTTAGCCTGGGGTTTTTTCATGAAACACGGCGTACACGTGCAACGTAGAGAGGCCCGACTCGGGTATGCTTTTTGAGGACGTGTTAGATATAGTAGAACACACATGTTAAAAAAAAAATAAAAGGGAGAGATGCGATTGAAATATTGGAGGATGGAGGAAAGAAAGGAGGAAGGGCGTGGAAAGAAGAAATGGGGGATGAAAATAAAAATTGAAAGAAAAGAAGATCACAGAACAAATAATAATGACGATGAGATTGGTGTGTGGCGTGCCCCTACATTTAAGTATTATAACAGTAATATTGATAATTATATTATAAATATATTACAAAGAATAACATTAAAGTAATATTGATAATACCGTAAGTAAGTACATTAATAATAATTTTAATTGTGTAAGGAGTCAAGCGAAGAGTTAATTAAGGTCAAATGAAAACTTTTGCAATAGTGAAGATGAGATGAAAGAAAAATAAGAAAAAAAAGTTGAATTTTATCGTAAAATTATCGAGTACCGCATAATGATCCATCTGTAATTGTGAAAATTACGATGCAACCGAAAGAGATAATAGAAGAAAAAAAATCTTAACAAAACGTGAAATTGCCAATTGCGATGCTAATGAACATCGTGAACACAATCACAATAACGTACACACGCATACGTACGGAAATGCGATGGAATACATACGCAATTTGATTAAAATTTAGAAACAATACTTCATATTTTTGATTCGCATGCGTTCACTCTGTATTAGAGATAATACAATACACCAAGTATGACTTTTACTGTAAAGCCACACGTGAAAAACTGAAAATAAAGCGATTACAACTGTCTGCTCTTATAACAATCGTATTTATTTATAAAAATTAATAATGCAATTTAAATTAAAATCTGCTTGAATTGCGTTAAAATTAGTCTTATAGGTTTCATTGGGTAGTCATATTTGTACAAGTATATACCTCGAATATTCCTCGTGATGATAAAAGTCCAAAAAGTATACGTCATACGTGTATTAATTGTTCAGAATATCAGCTGTGGACTGTATCGTTATCCGTAGACATTTTCAAAGACTAGAATAAGAAGCGATCGTGAAGAACAATGTCGAGACTGCTGCTTTTATTTAGTTAGTCAAAAACAGGGTGATCGCAGTTGTAGAAATTTTTTTAATGTCAGCAAAATGATCAAAGCTCATCTCGTCATTGGAATCCTAAAAATACTTTTCAACGTTATACATATAGTGTGTGAAAAGTATTTTTAACAGGTTTTTCCGGAACTCCTGATGTATTCAGTCCACTTGGGGGTAGCTGATATATATATATATATGCATATAAAAAAGGTTAAATAATATAATACACTTAACCATTCGTTGAGTTCGATAGAGATCTTTTTGAACCACGCCTCGTGTTCACGTCGACCTGCCTCAGGATCCTTCCCAGGGAGCCTTCTGCCCCTGCCATTATCGGAGAAAGACTGAAACTAGGAGCTGTGCGATTCTTAAGGGATCGCGCACTTCGCGGTGATCTTACATTTTGATCATTTGTCCTGCGCCTGGCGGACTTTAATTTCACACTACGTAGCATGTCCAAGGATACTACAGGACCCTTAGGAGCAGGTACAGTGTTCCAACGATTTGCCTGAAAAGCATGAACTTTATTAAATTAATTTATTTTGCAAATTTATTCAAAGTTCTAGAAATCTTATACACGTTTGTTTCAGGATACCTTGGCGCTTTGCGGTGCCTTCCTTAAAGTGACTTTCAACAAATCCTCCACTGTTATGGGAGGCCTATTCAACAAAGGTGTGGAACACTTTCTCGTCGGTGTTCTAATGGTTCTACTGCTGTTTGGTGTTGTTGGTGTGATTTGTTGGGATTCCTGTGGCGGAGGTGGTGGTGGTGGTGGAGGTGGAGGAGGTGGTGGAGGCGTTGCAGAAGATGCTGGGGCAGACTTTGACTTTACACCGTCCAAGACCTCGTGCAAAGATTTCAATTCGTTTGTTAAAAGGCTATTGTTTTGGACCAGTTGATTACTAGCCTCGCGCATTCCGCTGACTTCGGTTGTCAAGGCTGCTAATGCCGCTTCGCTTCTCACTCGAACCTTATGTATTTTAGGTTATAGAATTAGTATTAGTTTTTAAAAGAGTAAAAAAAGTAACTTTAAGGAGATTAGAAGCAATACCTGAAGTAGTTCTTCTGAAATGTTATTTACTTTTTCAGACAATACTGATACTATATGTTCATTCTCACACCGTATGGTAGCAATAATTTGGGCCATTTCATTGGTCATGGTGTCTTGACTAAGAGTCCTTACAGTGACTGACAAAATGGCTTTACGAATTGTAGAACAACTCTAAATAAGAGAATATGTATACATATAATGCTCTTTCTGTCCTTTACTTATGTATTATCTAACTTACTTTTCTGACTAATTGTATAATTTCCTTAGCGAGCCACACACAGAATTCACTTATACGCGAAAAGGGCGCTTTTAGATTCTTTAATTTTCTTGCCGATGTATGCACAGTAGATAAACATTGAATACAGTCTAACTGATGCTGTGGATTATTCGATAGTTGCGATTCCGCCTGTAAAATTTTTACAAGAAAAACAAGAATTGTATTAAGAAACAATGATTTGTAATAGAAAAGAAATTTTCTTACCTCTAAAGTTTTACAGTCTGAATCAGATACTGTAGGTAATTCTAGAGACGTAATAGAATCCGGCATGCTGTAATAAATGTCTTTATTTCCATTATATTTTTCATTACTCTGCATCAAATCAACTGGTGCTTTTGGCAAGTCCAATGTAGGTGTAAACGGTATATAAGATTTATTGGGTGGGTCGTATTTGAGAGAGGTACGACACCTTTTGGCAGGTGGGGAGCTACTCCGAGAGCAACATCCGTTCGACTCGTCTTCAATATGCATAAAATAATTTGAGCAATCATTGTTCGCATCCTGCGATGATTGCATCTTGTCAAATTTATTAAAGACCCTTGAATATTTCAAAGATCTGTCACGATGATTTGTAGAATTGGATGTTCCTGGATCCGAACACGTCTCCAATAGTTGTGCATCATTCATTCTTGCAAAGTCATTCTTAGTTTTAAACCATATCTCGTCATTATCAAGGGTTTTACTTGATCCTAAAAAATGTTGGTCACTCCTAAACGTGCATGGTATACTACTGGCAGAGCCTGCCCCATATGCTTGCATACGATCCGATGATTGCGATCGGGAATGCAAATTGTTAAAATACAAGGCATTTAATTTATTATTGGATCGCACATAACATTTACTATAGGAAACTATCGAGTCATCATTACTACCAGCAAATCTCATGCTGTTTCCATTATCAAAATATTTTGTACCCCAGCTATCAGAGTTTGTGTCCAATTCATTCTTGATAATTTTACTGACGGATATTGTTTTTTCCAATAAATTGTTATCGCAACATTCTATAGCTATATCATTTTTCTCCTGTTCGAATTTTGATAATACGCCTTGCGATTCGGTACTCCGCATCGCTGTGCATGTTCCAGTCGCAGATGCCTCCTCTTCATCTTCATTTTCAGGTAAGTCCAGATTAAGCCTTATCTTAGGAATTCTTGCAGCAATCTTCGGACTTAAATCTTTTAAACGAAGAGGATCACCTTGTGACGGTTCGCATAGCACAGATTCTGGCGATCGATTGTGTACGTCACACGTGTCTGATGACGTTTCCAGGGTAGAGTTGGGATCTGCATCTGATTCGGTTATATCTGAATTATTGAGTATTAAGCAGGCTTTGTCTTTGGACGATTGATGGAATACTTCTTGCATATTATTCTTGCGACGTGTCCTTTTGCCACTTTTTCGTCTTGCCATGATGGTTTTGATAATTTTTCGAAATTAGTGCTACGTAGTAGTAACAGTAAAAAAATTAGTTCTCTGGCGAAAGGTCTTTGTTAAATAATTTATTAGTGTAATATAACTCTCACCTGTACCTCCAAATTTAAGCGTTAATTTTATCTTTTATAATAACGATTTTACACGTGAAATTTGCTTGCACTTAATCATTGATACATGGATTTCAACCAGATCCGGTATGTATGTATCTTTTAGTAGAAATTCTCACTCACATTTTTGTAATTTGAAGGAATATTCTCTCTTACTTTAAATTGTTCTTGTGATATTGCTCATATGATTGTTCTGTAGCTCTGACATTGATGCTCGTAAACGGACTGCTTGAAGGTTGGTGTCTCTAACTGTTTAAAATGACGTTTGTTTTGAAACGGTTAACGACTTTTCAGACATATATTCTTACAATTAATATGGAAAGAAGTAAATACGACAATACTATAGCTATTAAAGATTTTATTAACAAACGTGTACAATACAATTTCATAAATAATTCCTATTTAATAAAATACAAAGATACGTATTTTTTCAACTTGTCTCATTATTAAAAATTCGTTCTCAATCTATCAATGAACTGAACGATAGTATTTTATTAAACAAAAGTTAAGAAACAACGTCTAAATATCCTTGAAATAAATGGAATCTCAGAACAATTGGGAGAAATAAAAGTTTTTACAAGTGTATCAACCAATAGCATTTATCTTGTTTAATGTCTCGATCCTCAATTGTTATAATTAAAAATAAAATTTCTGAAGTAAATATAGCAAACGTGGATATAATCGAAAGCTTTAATAAAGTATATAAATCGTGGTATAAAATACTAGTTGTAATATTAAAAAATTATCTGTTGGAAGAACGAACGAAGAAATCAGGGAAATATTATAACATATAAGAAGGTTTGTTCCTACGCGCGCTACGTTTCGCAAGGCATGCTGGGCTGATAGAAGACCCTGATAGAAGACCCTAATCGCCGGCCAATCAGAAGCCAGAAAGTGTGGCACGGGCGCTCCAATCTTCAACCTGATCGAGGGATTTTCGGTGTTTGGCTGGAGCGCGCAAAAATCGTGGAGTAAGTCGTTTCACCCGCGGAAAATTGTGTGAAATCGAGATCAACTGTATACCAGAGACTGTCTGTGGATCAATTGGTGGAGAGTATTACCAGTAAAAGGTACGTTATGCGTTATTTGTGGTTTATATAAAGGTTTTTCGCCGAAGAGTGAGTCTTACGTCAAAACGAGTTTGGATTTTCAACGTTTCTTAGCTCAATAGATCGTCAGGCTGTGTCGGCATCAAGCGTGCAATATTATTCGACCTAATTCAGTATCGCGTGCAACGAAATTTCTATTTTTATTATCTACTATCGACAAAACAGCATCCTCCCGCGTTTCTCGCCCTTGCCTATCTTTCTCGTCTGTTCGGCGATGCTTTTCTTCATTTAACTAGATAAAATCCTTCTGCTGTTCCTATAAGCCAGTTTGGCACCGTGCATTGACATGCCGGCATTTGACGTTCGCGCGACTGTCAAAATCGCGCGGTCTCTACCAACTCCCAGGTTTATTCAGATTTTATTAATCGTATAGGTGCGATTATCTTTTCGAATTATTCTTCTCTCGGTTCCTTCTTCTTTTGAGTCCTCTCTCTTTTTGACTTTGTGCCATCTCCATCTGTTCTTTTATGCCGCTTCTATATGTTTTTTGTTTCCTATCTTATTCTCTATCTATCCATCCATCTCCATCTTTGCCTCACCTTCCAGCCTTTTCATTTTTATTGCTTCATGACCACCCATCTTTCTTCGTAGCTCTACCAGTTGTTCTTTAGCTTTCTATTGCCTCTATACTTTCATTCCTTTTTCATGTTTGATTTTGCTTTTTTTCAACAGTCATTCTGTTTCTAGTTTGTACAAGTATTTTGTCCCCAAGTGTTTTTGGATTATTTAGCATAGATTTCACTCGGAATTAGCCTAGTTACACTGTTTATTAATTCTATAGTAATATTTTATATATAAATTTGCTCTTCGATGATGAAACTAATATATTTGAAAGTTAAGCTATTATTGGTCCTGTATAAATGATACATTGTAATTACTTGTTTCATTTTGAATGAATCAGTTATAATATCTGTATTTGAGCTTTTTCAGTTATATAAAATATGTAAGTTTGTATTATGATTTTCCGATATAACATTTTCATTGCCAAGTGTTTTGTGCAAAGTACATGTAATATTCGATTTACTTTCAAACATTACATCCTTATTCTACAGCTTCGAACTATTTTTGCAACATTCGTTACAAATACAGTTCGAATCATTGTTGAGTGATATTAATCATATGGTAGACTTTACTTGTCTTCCAATCCAAGCAAATCTTTCTCATTGCAGTTTATTTTTTGATATTTTTAGTTTATTCTGTACTTATATGAAAAAAATTTATGACCTAAAATACACTACTACTACTGCTTAATATTGCATTTAGAAAAGTTGTCGCTTATTGTATCTGATTTTTTTTAGTAGATAATATTTTTCTTTAGTCTAATACACTGGACCTAATTGTATCACTTTCAAAGAAGAATCCAACTACTCAAGGGTTAAGCGCTAAGCAAATAGTCATCCAGCCAGTAACCATAAACTTTTTACGGAGCTCAAGTAGAGCGTAACCTCCTTCATTTGATTTACAATTCCTGCATATCACTTTTCATTTTGCTAAAAGAACATATAATTCCATGAATCTACAATCTGACATTGATGTTCACGATAAAACTGAAAAGGTTTTATTATCAGATATATAACAGAAAAACATAGTAAGAATAACATATCTGAAGTTAGAAACCATCGCCTTTTATTTCATTACTGTGTTCTTTCTTGTATTTACCCTTTCAAAGAATATTGTAACATATACTGTAAACTCGACATCTATGACACGTATATTTGAATAAATAAGTCGCTATATCTTATCTATAGAACCATCACTGTACCTTGAATAATAAGTGATAATGAAATTGAAAATTTACTATTCTAATTCATTGGGTTTTTTAAAATCATGTCTGGTATATGGTATTTGGGTTCGAATAGCAATTTCGATGTGCTTAGATAGTCTCTAATACAATAAAATTTTGAGAAAGTATGTCAGTTGGAATTCTCTAGTCAAGAAATTTTTGTTGTTTTCTTTATTGCAGAAAAATTATCTACAAAAATAACATACTTCTTATTCTTACAGAATAGACAAAATGTCGGACCGCAAAGCAGTTATTAAGAATGCTGATATGTCGGAGGAGATGCAGCAGGATGCTGTTGATTGTGCCACCCAAGCTCTCGAAAAGTACAACATTGAAAAGGTGAGCAACGGTGAATTCGAAAAGTAGAATATAACGTAGAACCCTCATATATACGTAAATGTATTAAATTTTGTAGCGCGTACTACGACCTGCACATAAATTTAACCGAAACTCAGCTGAATGGCAAATCTTCAATTACCACATTCAGGAATTTTGCGTTTTTTTTTTTTGATTTAATGAGTTCACAGTTGATTTAACGTGATAATTAATTTTACAAATATTTAAAAATTTAATTTTAAACATTAAAAGTATAGGTTTTAGTTATTACGTTTTGTGCTTTATATATACATCTTTTTTATCGTTTCTTCCATTAATTTTACCAATTTCTTTTAATGTTACCTGGTTTGTTATCCGCTCTCTTGCACACGATGTGATAATAAATCATACATTCTACAGAATTTTTGATGTTGCTAAAATCTTGCCGACAGCTCTATTACAAACTAAACATAATGTTTTAAGCACTAGCTATAATGTTAATACGAATATTTTTTTTCATTGTCAGTTATAATCTCTTTAGTGCAGCAAATGGTTCCATTCTGCGTATCGTTGTGTTTATTTTAGTATATTCAAAAATTGTTATTCAAAATTAGTATGTTGTACGTAGTACACTACTATTTCTTCTGTTTTTTTTTTTGTTTTTTTTTTTAAATAAAAAATTTGTCGGACGAACGTCGGGAGTCATGGAAAATTTATAAAACATCAAAATATCACAGAGAATCGTTTTTGAACTTGAGCCGCCTGTACGCTCATCCGAACGACATTTTCCAGCCCAGGGCGTTTCATAAATATCGCGTAACGCCTCCTCACGATCGATCCTTTATCGAGCCCATCACGTGAAGAGGAAGAGAGAAAGGGATGAAGATACAGAGAGATAGAGAAAGATAGAAAACTTATCCTTGGCGTTTGTATCTGTTTCAGGACATCGCGGCATTTATCAAGAAGGAATTTGATAAAAAGTACAATCCGACGTGGCACTGCATCGTCGGACGTAATTTCGGTAGCTACGTCACACACGAGACAAGACATTTCATCTACTTCTACCTGGGCCAGGTAGCCATTCTCCTCTTTAAGAGCGGATAAGCTGATTTCTATTTTTCCGTATTCGAAACAAGCCCGAACCACCTTGCCCCTCCCCATTACATACCCCGAAAATTCTCCAAAATCCTGCCACATCCTGCTTTTCCAATATCCCAGAGTCGCCAACTCTCAGTCGCCATGCCACTTATATAAATTAAATTATATTACGTGTACGTATATGACGACAGCTTGTTTTTGAAAAAAAAAAAGAAAAAAAATGAGAGAAATGTCCCGCAAGAGTATGACATGGAAGGCGTTGATTAAAGGGAAAGCGAGAAAAGGAATTATGATAACGATCCCACCATCTCGACGTTGTTAACGGTTTCTTCGTGGACCGAATGAATTAAAGATGAAGAAAAGAAATATTGTGTAGAGAATCTAAGGGTTAGGGGGACTTGTTTGAATGGTTAAAAAAATGGAGTGGACGTGTAATGGCGGACGGTGATGATGATGATGTAGATGATGATGAAAAAACTGACATACTACCTTACATGTTGAAATGTATTGCGTATGCCAAAAAAAGCTTTGTTGTGTTCTTGTTTTATATTAGGTATATATGTAAGGTTGGGTTCAGTGTTGGCGATTTGAAGTCGGAACAGAATTTTTCTCGTTGGTTAACGTGAGCGTTTATTATGCCAGAAGAGACATTTTGAATAAAAAAAACTACAGGATCAGATATCACATATTGTTGATCATAGTGGAATGAGATGTATCGAGGAACGATGATCAATGACTAACAGTCGCCATTAATGAACGCAAGCCAGGTTAACGATTAATTATCTCAAAGGAAGAAGATAAAATTAATTATGTCAAATCGATCGTATATCGTCCCTACTTACCCCAACGCTACACATAACGTTTCATATATATAACGGTATACCTATTTTTTTTTATTTGTTTAACTACATTTTGTTTAAGTTTAAGGTAAGAATGCATTAAAAAAGTGAAGATGAATTCAACACAGTCGACGAAAGCATTAGATTTTTTTTATATATATAAATATATATCGGATATATATATGTATGCGTAATACATATGTATATATATTGCGCACTCGATAATTATTAACTGCATAACAGCCGAGTATCAATCGTTGTAATACTAACACAATATTATTACTTAAATAATATTAGAAGACCTTTTGTTATACTACCGTTGTATTTTGTAACTGGCACGGGACTTTGATGATCTATTTGTCGAAAAAGGAAGGAAGAAAAAAAATAGGATGGTTAAGAAAAGGATTGATAAAGATAAAATGGCGATGCATACTTAAAATGAAGATAAAATCAATTGATTCCCAGGCAATGCCACTTGCTCTCTCTCTCTCTCTCTCTCTCTCTCTCTCTCTCTCTCTCTCTCACACACACACACACACACTCTCACTCTCTCACTCTCTCACTCTCACTCACTCACACACACACATTCTGTCTTTCTCTGTTCGTTCCAATCATTACTTGATCATTTAATACTCCATATTATGGTAATTATACATAACATTATTATATAGATTATTATACACATATATTGCTATTTATACATAGTGCAATCTCCAAACGATATTTCCATGCAGAGTGCTCCCGGCTCGCGGCAGACGTAGGATCGATTTTTATCGTCCAAGAATTGAGACACTAAGATTGTTCAAAGGACTTTTTCAAACTGGGTGCGCGATTATTCAGTCCAAAGCGCGTATCCCCTTGGTACGTGTGTATCCGAAAGTTTATCACCTGGAATCTTCGCAGTTCCACCGTTTTTAAATAGATTTATAAATATAATGTAAAACTTGAAGCGGACGAGAGACTTTTTTCACTTCTCGCCAGAGTCAAAAGTCGGCCCAAGGCACTCTCCAAGTGAGACAGCGTGATGGACAAGACGAGACGAGGTTAATAAAGTTGCACGTTGTGTAAAAAACATGGGGAAAAAATGAAAACTATTAGATGACGAGTCGCAAGCGTCATTTGATAATGAGGTACGAGAATTCGTACTTGCATTGAAAGAAATCGAAGGATACAAGAGCATAATTAGTGCGTGCGAATCCGTGAAAATGTGCGAGAATGGAATTAAGGATGCGATACCGATTTAAGAGATAATCGTGCACTATGGTTGACCTGTGCTAATAATCGACCGGCGTATGTGTGCTTACGTGGAATACGTATGATAAGGTACTGATTACGAGTGCGTATGAAGTGTATGCGAGGTAGGTAATGAGTTAATGAATGTCGGCGTGAATGAGATGCGAGAAAGTATCGGGTTTCGTTTATGAAATGTTTTTTTATTATATCTATTAAAAAAATATATATATATAAAGTCCTTTACATGATTCACGTGGCGGATACATTTGCGTCCCGAAAGCCGCCAGCCTGTCGGAATGAACGAAGAAGCTTAATGAGGGGGAAAAAAAGAAAAGAAAATTACGAAAACAGTATGTCGTGCATCTATACACACGTTCTCCGAACTCTTACCTCGTATTTCTTATAAAGCACAAGTCACTTGGCATTGGCTATGGTTTACTGTTATTGATTAATTAAATTAATTATGGTTTTCAAGATTGACAGCTGTCGATGACGAGTACACGTTGCAAATGATAAATCCGAATTATCTCAGTACGAATCCGAATGTTATAGATTTTGCGTAATTGCCATAATGCTCTCTCGTCATTGCCTCTTAGTGATAACGGGTGTGAGCTATTACTTCTACTTTGTTATCATATCCTTTGTATTGTTCTCTCAGACAGTCATGTCCAAATGTCTCATAAATGGTTGTTTTTCTTTGTCTTTGCGGGTTCAGCTAGTTAAACTATGTCGGAAAGATGATTTACGATGACAAAAAGTATTATAGTTTTGCACGATCGCCGTATTGCGAACGTACCCTCAACTTTCCACTTTATCGCTCCTCAGTATTAACTAGTTTTATTGAGACTTAATGATTAGATAAATTTATAATGTGCTTAGCTACGGTCACGTATAGTAGCTGAGATTCATTACACGTTCAATCGAATCGAAGTTTGGCGCACGAAGGCCTAGTTAGGCAAGAACTCTACGGTTGTGTCCCAATTTTTCATTGTATGATTTACATCACGATACATTGAAACCACGAGAGTGGTGATATTCTCAATGCGACTGTGAATATTTACCCTCGTTAATTCCACAACTCCTGTGTAAAATTCTTCATCAAGTCTTAACACCCTTTGTACCCATCTTGAGCGAGTGGTCTGTCTTACGAATTGATAATAGTAGCCCCTACGAAGAAACAATAAATTGGACCTTTTAGGTTGTATCGCGAGCTAGTATATAGATAATTAATAATTTTGTTGTTATTAAAATCATTGGAGGGATTTTTAAAATCATTGCTAAAAAGTATAGGGAATCTGGTACATCGTAGAAATTTATATTTACATCGTGCGATACGCCGAGATTCTTCTTGATATGACGTGTTTCTTCCCTTGCGTGAGTCGATCGTTTCTTTTCTTGTTGTCTATGGGTAATAAGATGATTAATAACTCTTGCGAATTACTGTGCGGATATTTTATATCGTACTCGAGAATCGATAACGCTCTCCGTCTTGTTGATGATTTTGTAACACTATACAGATATTTTTGTCATGAATTTATCAATAATTAATCCCATTGAATGTGTTCATTGGCATCACTTGGTGAACTTGGAAGCTTTTATCGTACGGAACAGGGCTGTTTATATGATTGGGGTGAAAGACTGTTACTTACATGTCGTGTGTGCCTGTTTATATCCGCAGATGAATTTAAATAAAAGAATTCGATGCTGCACATTTTTAGCGACTGCGCAAAATTCTTCGTAATATGTAAACTGATGTGTTCCCGTACGTATATTCGGTCTTGTCTCGAAGAGCGTTTTTCTTATTCTTATTCACTTTTTGGTAGTACTGTTAGCTACCGTCCATCATTTTTCTTCTTTATACATTTTCTTCTCATGTTTGAGCTCTCGTGACAATCGTGCGTTAATGCATTCTATTCGTGATGCTATTCTGAGCAGATAGTCAAATTTATTGTATACGTACGTGCGTCTCACGCTATAAGCTTTCGAGAATTGAAATTTTTGAAGATCTCGAATACTCGTAATAAATATAAATAGAGGGGAAATTGACAGATGAATTTGAATGTGAGACGCGTATGTCCTTGATGTCAAAGGACAAAATGTCGATCTTGTCAAATTGGGACACAGCCTTAAACACTTTCATTAGAGGGACCGTATTAATTTAATGTTGTGGACCTTTGGATGGACTGTATTATGTGTATATTTACCTGCTCTGTCTGAGGCTGCATTCTCCAATACTAAATACTAATACAGTTGTCTCTAAAAATATTCATTTTTATTTTTTTTTGTATACGACCCTACCTATTTTCCTATCGTACGAAAGGAGATTCTAGAAAATGTACTGCAGCAATGAAAATTTTTAATAATGGAATAATGTTTTAAATAGAGGTAAGTGGAACAAAATCTTTATTTAATTACATGTTTATTTTTATCGATACATTTATCAATTTTAATGTACCTTTTATAGCTTAAATCCTGAATGTATTGCTACGACTCCAAATGTTAAATTCGTATAAGTCACTTGTCGGAAACCGGCGCACTCAATCATATCCTAAAAAAGAAATAAATTTGAAATGTCATTAATCAAATTCGATGATAAAGGTATTTGCAAGAAAAGAAGTAATCATTAAATAAACTTTTTCTTGAAATGTTAAAACCCCCAATATTCAGTGTTAAAGTTATGTAACTGTGTATACAAACGAATATCTTGTCAAGTTATATTTGACTCTATGTCAACGTTATATAACGATATAGCATTCATGTCGAGATTACCTTAAAATCTTCTTGCTTTGGAAATCGCCTTATACTTTCTACCAAATATTGATAAGGTTGCCACTGTCCAGCAATTAACATTCCCATAACTGGTATCATTTGAAAGGAATACTTATCGTATACCCTGCAATGAAAGGTTACATGTTAATCTGAACATATGTTTAAATTAAGCATCTATGATTATTAAGAATCACCATTGCATTAAGTCATTGTTTAAATGACTAAATTCCAAGCACAAGAAACGACCACCTGGTTGCAGCACCCTATAAGCTTCCGATAAAACCTGTGATAACAAGATTCTATGACACTCATTATGGATCTTTTGCTGATATGAATTAAAGATCCATAGAATAAACAATAGTATATTAATAATAACAATACTGCTACCTTATCAATGTGAGTGACATTTCTTATTCCAAATGCTATTGTATAAGCAGAAAAGGAATTGTCTTCACATGGCAAATTCTCTGCATCACCATGCTTCCAAACAATATTATAGCCATTCTCCAATGTCCATCCCTGTTGTTCAGCTCTCGTCTTACCAACATCTAACATGTTCTGATTAATATCGCACACAGTCACATGGCTCTGCACACCTTTTGGATTCTTTGAATTCTTCAAATAATTCAAATACCTAAACGTTATGTCTCCTGTGCCACCAGCAGTATCCAGTAAACGTGAACCATGTGTCGGAGCAAGCTCTTGTATGAAAATATCCTTCCAAATTCTGTGTATACCCAAGCTCATAGCATCGTTCATTAAATCATAGGAATTTGCAACATTTTCAAACACTGTATGCACTGTTAGAAGTTATATTATGTTACAAATTACTGAAAATAGTAAAAATAAACATTGTCTACATCATTGAATGCATAACCAGAAAATTACCTTTCTGTGCCTTCTCATCCTCCTTGACAGTTTCGAAGCCAAAATGTGTCGTTTTACTGTCGTTATTCGCTTCCGATTTATTTGTTTCCACATTATTATATTTCTGAAATGTAGTACTCAAGTATCTATACACAATTTCATCTGGCCTTATGAATATCCTACAGAAGCATTTGTAAAGTGCCATCTTGACATAAGTTTTTGATAGTTCTTACTATAGAACAGGATTTTCATTATCTTGGGGTTTTGCAAGCCTGGTGTTGGCATATCTAGTGGAAAACTTGAAAGTGTACAGTTCGAATATGCAAAGTAATTATTACATACGTGTCTAAAGTTGGGGCACGATAATAAAACAATCTTGTTTACACATTCATATTACTGATTCAGTTAGATTTAACTACAGTAGATTCTGAGTATACATTTCAATGTGAAATGGAATAAAATGGAAAATAATTCATCTGCTTTGTCAGCAGTGACAAATGAAGTAGCATCCAAATATCAGTATAAAATTTTTATTATGCATGATATTAGATGATACAACAGCATTATTAGTAGGTGTGGACAAATATTCGAGAAATTGCAAAAACTTTCGTTGTCTTTTTTTTTCTTAAATCATTTTTTACTATCTGGCTTATAGTTATTAATACTCTCTTACGTATACTCGAAGTCATGATGCAACATTATCTGCAATTGCTTGATCCTTCGAAAACAATCAACAAACACATAGTCGGTTCAGGAGTCAAATTTTTTTTGACAGCTCGTAACCTCAAGTAGCAATTTTATATCCCTACAATGTTACAGTAATGTTACATATATTGGTAAGAAAATCGACACATCACAATCAGATAACCTTAGAATTGCGTGTACGTATATATAATTTCCAAAGTTTTCGCCAAATGCAATACATACAATATTAACAGTAGATATTGCGATAACGCCCGTAGGATATCTAAGCAAATCTATTCATCAATAGAAACATCTACAACAAATCTGTGAAATATTACTTCTATGCCTATTCGATATTTAAATTATGAGATTTTGCATTTCGTCAGGTGTACGTATTTATTTATATTGCGGACACTGGGGATAACATAAATATATGAAGCACATTTTTTTCATAAAAATAAATTAAATAAGTGGTGTATCACAAATGATCTATACTAAGGCATTTTGAGGACCAGCGAAGGTCCTAAAAAATATATAAATAGTAAACTTTTAACAGTGGTTTTTAAGCCGTCGGTTTAAGTTAAACATTTCAGCTCATGATCTACTGAATTGAAAACTAAGGGCACATTTAAATATCTATAGCACATCCAGCATACATGAAGTGTATTCTTTTGCACATTCAAAGTTTTTAGACATACTTTGAACATATTAAATAATGCAAATATTGATATCTAGAGGGTATCTAATGCTGTGCGAGGAGCTACTACTAAACTTATTGTTTATCGTATTTTATCTAATATACGAATCTTTTTATTGAATAGATGAAGTCCAATTAGTTATACGTATATGTTGTATATCTGTGTATATATATATCAATAAACTATAGGTATAAAATCAATCTTTTTCCATGCTCGTTCGACACCGATCGAAACACAGTCATACATGATCACCCCAGTTGTTGCATCTCACTATTTGGTGGAATTCACGTTTCATATAATATAACTTTTTTAATGTATTAGAAATCATATAAAAATAACAAATAGAAATTTCATCGACGAAATATTGTAATGATATCATCATTTGGATATCGAGCAGGCAACATTGATCAGATGTCACGTAATATTATGCCTTTGATTTTGTAAATTATATATTCATACAGTATCTCAGCGATGTTCCTTATTGGATATAACCTTATTTGAACGTTTGCAATTGTTTTTAGATATTTCATAGATATTCATTGCTGCTTGGGAAGGAATGCAATCCTTGGCAAAACAGACGTTATTTTTCATAAAATAACGTAAATATATGTTAAAATAGAGAAATAAAATATGTGTATTTATTACAAAACCATACACATGCATATTTTTTATGAAACATTTTATGCATTGACATCCGTGTCTCATAGACTTCATTGTTTTTATGTGTCCAAAAAACGCATTAAACTTGTGGTAGACGGAATATATTTGCATCTGATTATTCTGAATAATATGCAATTCTTCCCCAAAGTTAAGGAAAGCAAAAAAGCTGAATTTGTCCGCTAAAAAAAATTCATATGGCTGCCAATGGTCTGTTTCACATAAATTAAGTGTTTTTCTGTACAATACGGCGATTAAGATGCACTCTGTTAACAGGAACAATATATGTACATACATAACAATATGGATCTATTTTTGTGAAAGAGAGTTTGTTTTCGTTCGAACAAGCTTAAGAAATGTTAACGCCAGATCTCATGCTGCATGATAGAATATCAACACGATGACCTAACAAACTCTTGGAAATTCAAAGTGTCAAGAGGAGATTACTCGTTTTATAAGTATTTGTTTTATCAGGTAGAAGTTAAATACAATTGGATCAAGTGTAAAAACTGTTGCAATACACAAGTTCATTTGTTTTTAGGATTAACAAGAAATGAAAAAACATGAAAAAGATCACAACAATAGTATAATGCAACGATATAGGTAGAAAGAGAACAAAATTATGTAAATTGTATTTGCATGTGCAAAAGGTAAGCGCAAAGCAATGCTAAATACCGAAAACTCTGTTCTGCAATGATGATGTATAAGAAATCATTAATCGTCATTAATCATTAAACTATTTCACTTGCATTGCTGCCCTGTTTAAAAATATTACATACATTTTAAGTATTGTTCAAATTGAATTATACAATATATCCATATGTATGTATACAAAGTATATTTAACCACTTATCCTGGAATCAAGTCTCTCTTCAACTCTACATGGCCCATAATTCTTCTGCACGTCAGGGAGACCTACGCCGGCTACTCACTTTTGCAATAAAAATAGTAGCATAATTAGACAGTTTGGGCTCGCGCGACCGATGACACGAAATCCAAGATACAATTCTGATTTTGATTAAACAATAACTAAATCCTCGTCTATGCAAAATGTAGGCATGATTTACCGTATAATTTCTCATATATAAATTGTCTAAAAGTCTCAATTTTCACTTTTTTATTTTCATAAAGATATCGAATATGGTTAAATGCAATGATTTTTGCCTCTAATATTGAGGTTATCTTATATTTTCGCACATTTATTTTTGAACCAAAATCCTTGGAGTTTTTCCTACTACCTGTTTAATTCTTAATTTCCTCCTAGCAAACACATAAGAGCAGTTTAACCGTTACTGGTCCATTAATAGGTGCAGTAGGCCAATAAGGACCCATCATTGGCTTCCTCTCATGTGCTTCTTGGGCTATTACTATTAGGACTATCATATAACCGAAACACCTTAACGAAGATGGTGACGAATTATCATATCACTGTATTAAAAGATATACGTCTGATCGCCAAGTGTATCTGTTCGGTTAGAAAAGGATCGTGGGTAATTGACGTGTTTATAATTCGAATCAATATCAGACTATAATTCATTAAATACATGAATAAAAAAGTCATATGATAATCATATCAATGCCGAACAAATAACGAGCTAACGTACCACAAAGTAAGTTGATTATTGCAGCTGACGAAAAATAACGAAATCTCAGTGATTAACGTGACCCATTAATCTTGGATCACATAATCGACCGGTATAAAAGGTGGAATTTCATCGAGGAAAGACATACTCAGCGCCACTGAGAATACAGCACTACACCAGCTACTTCTTTTGCAAAGTCAAGTGTTCAATCGCTTTAATTACAAGAAACATGGATCGTTGGGTAAACAAAGTTGCTCTGGTAACCGGCGCCAGTTCCGGTATTGGCATGGCCATTGCGGAGGAACTCGTTAGTAAGGGAATGAAAGTTATTGGACTTTGTCGTCGTGTCGAGAAAGTTAAAGTGAGTATATGAAATATAAACAAAAATTATTATACAATCTAATATAATTATATGTTTCTCGATGAACATAAGTTTACGTTGATTGTTCCATTATTCATCTGCCTTACAGATGCTTGCCGAGCAATGGAAATCGATGCCCGGAAAACTCTATCCTCTGCAATGCGATCTTGGAAACGAAACGGAAATCTCCCGGGCTATGGAATGGATTGAGAAGAATCTGGGAGTTGTTGAGGTACTTATCAACAATGCTGCCGTCGACATGCATACTATGTTCCTGGATGGAACCATGGATGAATGGCGCAAGACCTTTGATATAAACGTCCTGGGTCTTACTCATGTCACCAAAGAAGTTCTGACGCTTATGAAAAGGAAGGGTATGAATTAGTTATTATATATAAATTTCATTCAATTACTATTTTTTTCTTGGTAAATTTGTTATAATATTAATTGTAATTACTTCAGGTATCGATCGTGGACATATCATCAATATCAATGACATTTGGGGACTCAAGGTTCCAATTACCTGTGAACGTCCTGTCTACGCTCCTTACACCTGCAGTAAATTCGCTTTGCGTGCTGTTACTGACTGCTTGCGCATAGAACTTGCTCATCTCCACTCCAACATCAAGGTTTCTGTAAGTACACTTTCAGATTTGTATAATTGAAGAGTGAGCTTTCAATTAAATTTTCACTTTTGGTTATTACAGTGCATCTATCCTGGACTCGTCGAGACCGAAATGACCGCGAACTCCCTCAAGGAACACCCCCGTCTCGCCCTGAAACCCAAGGATATTGCTGAAGCTACTCTCTTCATGCTCCAGACTCCGGAAACTGTTCTAGTCCAGGACATGGTTGTGACTCCCATACGTCAGATGGTCTAAACAGGAAAATTTAAAAAATTGTCTTGCCTTGCTGTCATTGATAATTATGTGCTGTCTAGTCAAAACGAATGATACTGAAAAAGTTTATAAAGTTTTGAATAAAAGTTTTCTTGATTGATATATTTTCATGATTTATTTTTACGTATAATTGTAGTAAGTTGTATTCAGTGTATTTACATTTTCTGGTAGCAGTAATCGCGTCAAAGGTACCTAAAGGTAAGATTCTGCAATTGGAAAATATTCTTCTTGCACTATTTTCACATAGGTAAGAAAAGAAAAGAAAAAATATCTTAATGTTCTAGTTTTGTGACTGACTTCAGCATCTTTATCCCCATCTAACTAAAGGAATAAAAAGAGTCGCGATTTTATATAAAATTAATATTTTATACCATTGTTTTCCATTTTTATTATATTTTTGCAATACGGTCCTTAATTATATACACAATCATGGAGGTAATGGAATTAGCTGAAATTAAAAAGTTCTTCATGCCATCAAATACGCGTTACCTGAATCCTCATGCCGAAGCGGTCAGGGTACAGTTTCTGTTTGAAATAAAAATAATAAATTGATTCATTATAACTCGAGAATTATTGTAGCTAAGAGTACTATGGACATATGATAAATTACCAAACAAAGCAAGAGATAATGAAGATGTTAAAAAACTTTACAATTTGGCTCAAAGCTACGTGCAAGAAGATTATATCCCAACTGCTCTTGGAATCATAAACAAAGGATTGAAATTGGATCCACGTTATCATTACTTTTATAAAATGAGAGGTGATATATATTATCGTCAGAGTAAGTCAAAATCCTCTACCTTTTCAGTGTGGGGAAAAGAAATATGAAAATTTCATACACCTCGTATAAACTTCTTCGTACGTAGGTTGTTGGACAAACGCCATAAGGAATTACGAAAGTGCTCGAGCGACTGTTAAATTCGATAGAAGAATTCCAGGCAATCTGGTGAACAGTTTTTACAATAAAAAATTAAGCGATGCTTATTGGAAAAGAGGAAACTACTACGCTGAAAGTGACAAACATTCGGAAGCTCTTTATGATTTTGAGGAAGTTTTAGTTTTGAAGTCTCGAGGTGCGCCGGTATTTAAAATTCAGGTAAATTTATATAGGTTATGATTAATTTTGTTTCAAACAAATTTATTGATCCATCATTTAATTATTTTAGGATAAACTACTGATGTGCTTGAGAGTCTTAGATCGATACGAAGCATATCGATTCCATTGGACTAAGTTTATAAAGAACACAGATACATCAAGAGCCTCCGTTCTCTTAACACATCATGCTGAGTATAAAATTTTTTTAAGAGAAATGTTAGCAGCACGTCATATACTTTCTGCTGCTTTGGACTTGGATCCAACAAATAAGCAGGCACAGGCACACTTACAGGTTAAGAATTATGATGAGATTTGGCATCCGTAGTAAATTTTTATTTATATTACTTTTATCAAATACTTCTTAAAATACAGGTTGTACTCACCACTGGTCATACTATGGTAACTTATGCAATAATATGGTGCACTTATGGCTGCTACGATAAAGCCTTAATGACAGTAGAAAAGGGACGGGATTGCGATCCCTACAATCCTGGCTATACTTTGTTAAAGGCTATTGTATTACGACTATCCGGTCGCTTAATAGAAACTGCAAAATGGCTGGAAAGCGTTGATCAAGGATTCTATAAGCTTCTTAAACCATCGAGCGATAAGAAAGGATCCATAATGGGAACTATGACGACGAACGAAGTCAGGTCGCAGTTGATAAAACAGTGGTACCTCATGAGGTAATTACGATTAGAAAAAAATAAAATGAAATTCATTATCATCAATCTCTCTTCTTACAATTGTCCCAGATACGACATAGCTGTAGTACTTATGATGAACGATAAGTACCAAGAAGCTATTGACCTTCTTCACGGAAGTAAACTTAAGACACAATTTCCAGAAACTTATCTTCTACTTGGCGATTGTATGCTCAAGTTAGGAAGACCTGAATCAGCATTACGCATGTACCTAGAGTGTCGTACCAGGACTCGCGAATCCTGGGGGAAGGTAGAGCACAAGAAGATAAGTCTGACTAAGCGAATAGCTGGTCTCCTGAATCACCAGACCGGACATTATATTGATGCTAGGCGATACAAGGAAGGAATAAATATTTCCAAAACTGTCGTCCAATTGCTGGAGGACGACGTTGATGATCTTACAAAATGTGGGACGCTTCGCGGAGAAGCATATATAAATATGTCGCGTAGTTATTATCAACGTGATATTACAAATTCAAATATGCTAGATTATAGCCATAGGACGGCTGCCGATGGTTTACGTTTTGCTAGGGGTAACGATCACGGTGCACTTTATGGAGCACTTTTTGGCGACAAGCCACTTGAAAGTGTTTTGGATAAATATGCTACCAAACGGCAGCTTCCTTTCTCCGTGAAAATGCTCATCCAATATTCTTAAATTTATATAAGTAATATAGGGTGATAAGAACACCTCTTACACGTTAATCCACTCTGATGATGATAAGGACGAATGATTAATCTTCATATAAATTTTAATTTTACTTCATTCTATGTCTAACACCTGCTAAAAGATCACGGTTTTAATTCTTAACTATTTTTAGACGTAATTATTCTCCTGCAATAATAAATATATATTAGCATAAGTAAAATCTGGCATTCCCTGTATAGTTTATTTTTTTTATTCTTATATTTTTTTAGTCCTCTATAAGAATGTTAATCAGTATTTATTTTAATAGCGAACTGATCAAGTTACCACGTTTCACCCACTGGTCGAAGAACGATATCTTGTACCTATAAAATATATGAAGGAGGCAACAGGTATGGAATACATAGGTATATGATACTGCTTGTACTTGGAAAATATATTTGCTTTTACTCACTGAAACGTACGGTGGCGTTGACAAAGCATAAATAACAGCTGCAGCAACATCTTCAGGTTGTAAACTTGGCATTGCCATTAAGGCCTCTTTGGAAAATGTAGAAAACGTTGACATGAAATCTGTCGCTACCAATCCTGGACTTATTGTCTATATAAGAAAATGTATATAGAGATAAAGATTGACCATTGGTACTTTTTTTTTTCATTTAAAATGTTATACCATAACGCGAATTTGCGTGCCGGTAAGTTCATGACGAAGAGTCTGTGCCAATGCAGCTACTGCTCTTTTACTGGCCGGATAGACACTAAAACCAGGAACAGCAGGTACTCGTTCACCAGCTATACTGTTCACATGAATAATCGCAGCATCAGTTTTAGATTCACGCATCATTCGCACTGCCTCGCGGGTGCACAAGCAGAGTCCGAAAACGTTAACATCAAAGACGGCACGCCAGTCTTCCAAAGTACCTTCTGGAAATGAATAATAATTATGAATAGATTAATGAATAATTAATAATACTAACGTAGTATCGCAATATCAAATCGGCTTATTACCAGTAAGTGATGTTTCTTTGGCAATGCCAGCATTATTAATTAATATTCCAATGGGCCCCAAGTGATCTTTTATCCAAGTAAAAGCAGCAATGACACTTTCTTCCTTGGAGATGTCACATTCTACTGGATGTAATTTTCCTGGTGAATCCTGAAGGCTCTCTGCAATTTCCTGAATTTTTTCTACTCTCCTTGCCAGACCTACTACTTGCAGCCCTGATTAACATAAATGCTTTGATTAATGTACTATACAGTCTCTAGAGATTGAAAATAAATATCTACGAAAGTATCAGCAGTATAACGAGTATTGTTTTAAGTTTAATTGGGTATATTAATGTAATTTAATTATATTTGTACCCTTGCATACTAATTCTCGAGCTATGAATGCACCAATTCCAACACTTGCTCCTGTCACTACTGCGACTTTACCAGCCCAACGTTCCATCTTCGTAGACTCACCTCGGCGTAATGACTGTTCAACTAAAAGTGTATGGTAATTGGATCGCACTTCTAAGTATTGAAATCGATTCCTTGCAAAACAACAACTTTAAAAAATTTTACCTGACTTCTTTCCTAATAAGTAAGATGATATTCTGCGGTGAATCGATATGTGATATTCGCACTGCAGCTGGAAATTACAAAATGTTAATCGACGTGAACGATCGAAAGACTTGATATCTCGTATCAACTTGTATTAATGTTATTTCAAATACTTTTCAGAATGGTAGACGCTTCATACACAAGATAGTAACTCAATAACAAACTATCAGCAACTAGGGCTTTTATTAGATCACATACTAGCATGAGTATAGATAATTGCATGAACATAATGTATGTTAAAATTGATCAATTAAACTTAAATGGTCTTGCTGTTCCGTCCATGTTAAGTAACTATAAATATTTGATTGGACTACTTAATGGTTAATGCAATATATGTAGGGAGCAACAGGATTATCTGAAATAATATCTATTTTACATAATAGTATTTGAATGTTCGAGTTTCAAATTTCAGCGCCTGACTATGTCTCGATATTCGTGCGATACTGCGCGATCAATCGATTACTTGGGAAGGCACATAACCTCACAAATCAGACATAATAACAATAATAATAAAAGCGACGCGGCGAATTTTTGTTATCAAATAGTACGTATTCGTGGACTCCGATTGTTTGGGCTTTGGCATGGAATGTTAGTACGTCAATCGCAATCGTAAACTATTGGTTTAAAACATGGGAGACATCCGGGCTGGTCTCGAGGAACTTAAATTGGACATCGCGCTTTTCGCCAATGTTAAATACTACGTCAGTGGTGAAGGAGATCCCAAGGTAGGACATTTTCTCATTTCCCGCGTTTTTCTTCAACTACAATGTCATTCCTGGGATCTTTAATGATTCTTTACAGTTGTGCAAAGAATTGGTAGTCTGACTTTTTTATATTTACGAGCACGTACATCTTCTTCTTGAATGAAAATGATGTTAACATCTTATTTCCGTAGTTGTATAGTGGACTTAGCCATTTTCCATGGAGAACGGCTCAAAAATTACAAACACATATTAATAGTTATTTCTTATGTTATTTGACATTATATTTTATTGAATAAGCTATTTCAAGCATTTGTGTAATGTTATGTGAGATCTTCTGTTGCAGATCCTAAGCTTATTGCAAGAAGGTGGTGCGGAGAGATCCAACTATTTTTCTGATTTTGTGACTCATTTAATTGCTGGGCATGAAGCATTGGAAAATGATATTTCAGCAGCAAAAGACTTGTATGAAATACCAGCTGTTACACAGGACTGGATCTTATATTCCGTCAAGTGCAGAAAACTTCTTCCGTATCCTAAATTATTAATAATAAAATATACTATATTGCTCATCTGCTCTCTTTAGTATTCTATAGTTAATTTAGTTTTTGGTATTGTTTTACAATAGTGTATGGATTTTTGTATGAGATTCCTTGACTGTTCAATGTATTCAGAACACAGTATTTCTCACCAGAGGAGAACCAATTATTTACAAATGTACGTGCATGTATATCCCAAGTAAATCGTGCGGACAGCAAAGCATTATGGGCAATGATTAGCATGCAAGGAGGCAAGTGCCAGCTGCGGCTGGACCGTTACTGCACACATTTGATAACTGGTAAAGCTAATGGTGCAAAATATGAAGCTGCCACCAGACATCATATACAGATAGTAACACCTGACTGGGTGTCAGAGTGCTGCAGAAAAGGCACGCTTATTAGTGAGGTTGAGTATCATCCTCGATTGTTAGTGTATCCATCACCAAATAGTTCTACTGCATTGATCACTGGATTTATGGATGAAGATGGTGATAATAATGCTGCTCAAGAAGAACAAGAAAGGACCAAAGCAATGCTTGAGCAGCTTAAACAGAGAATGCCATGGAATCAACCCATTTCAACAGCTACGACAACACAGAGTCATAATGTTAATGCTCTTTCCACCAATGTTGTTCCACCATCTAGTGCACACAACATTTCTAACGTGCAACAACAATTTCCACGATCAGTTGTACCAACGAGCTTGCCTGGTCATGCTCCAACCGCTTTACCGTCGTCTCCAGGGCAAAACCTGATGAATCAGGGTACTTGGCATCACCAAACTTCCCAAGCAAACAATATCCCACAAATGAAGCAGGCAATGCAATCGCAACTGCAGCAAAAGGAATTACCATCCCAGCAAATGAATTTGCAGCAACAACAGCATTTGATGCATCAACAACAGCAACAATTAAATCAGCAGCAAAATATGGCACAGCAACAGTTATTAAATCAGCAACAAGCTCAACAAATTTCACCACAGCAGCAACCGGTAAATCAGCAACAACAGCCGGTTGGGCAACAAGCTTTAATTTCACAACAGCAGCAGCAGTCGCAACAAATGAATCCGCAAATACAGCAGCATCAAATGGGAAATCAACAACAATTACTGACACCCCAACAAAAACAACAGCAGCTGAATCAACATCAGTTAATGACACAGCAACAACAGCAGCAGCAGCAACTTCCTCCACAACAGCAAATGGGTCCACAACCGTCACATATGGGACCACAACAGCAGCAGCAACAACAGTTACCTCCACAACAACAGCAACAACAACAGTTACCTCCACAACAACAACAGTTACCTCCACAACAGCAACTACAATTGACTCCGCAACAACAGTTAGTTCTTCAACAGCAACAGCAACTTGGTCCGCAGCATCAGTTGGGACAACAGCAACAACAAACGTCGCCACAACAACAACAACCGCAGCAGCAACAACTTACGCAAGAACAACGGCAGCAACTTCTTCTTCTTCAGCAACAACAGCAACAGCAAAAAATTCAGCAGATTTCCCAACAACTTCAGCAATCTGTGCCTCAAGGCTCTCAACAATTTGTTATTCGGGATGGTCAACTCCAACAGCAATCTCCGAATCAACAGTTACTCGCGCAAAATCAACAAGGGTTTATCGTCCAGCGAGATTCACAATGGCAACAACAACAACAACAATATCATTTACAACTGCAGCGACAGCAGCAGCAACAGCAAATTGGCCAAACAAGACCTGGCGGCCAATGGGCCCAGCAACCACCACAACCGCCCAGACAGTTAATTCAATTAGATGCCCAAACCCATCAACAGCTGCAGCAAATGGATCCACAGCAACGAGCACAATTTATTCAAAAGATACAAAAACAAAGAAATCTAATGTTGCAACGTCAGATGCAAAATCGTCAAGCTCAACAAGGACCTCATATCGCTGTGATTAGAAGTCCTGGAAAACCCGGTCAACCAGGTGGACTCCAGTGGGTTCAGCAAACAAGGCCCCAAATGATGGGTCCTCAGGTAGCCCCAACTCCTGGACAAAAACCCATGCATCCTGGCGTACAGCCACCAGCTCTCACTCCTATAAATTCTTCCAATCAAGTGATCGTTCAGACGGGTCAGGCAGTACCAGGACCACAAACTTCTCAGCCGGGACAGGCCTTTCAACAGGGACAACCTTTGACACAACAACAGCTTGCTCAGTTACATATGCAAAAGCAACAGCAAATGGCACGATTACAGCAATTACAGCATTTACAGCAGCAACAACAACAGCAACAGCAGCAGCAACAACAACAACAACAACAGGGTGCATCTTCAGAACCACCCTTAACACCATTATCCGGTAATTCCCAAATCCCTCCAGATCAGCAACTAGTTGTTAATGCAAAGACCAAGACGGCACTTGCGAATATGTTAACCAATCGCCTGCAAGGTGGCACAGCTGAAGGTAGTGCTGCTGGACAATTGAGATTGATGACAGCTCAACACAGACCACCACCACCGCCTTCACAGGACCCGCATCTCCTCGCTGCGTATCAACGACGAACCTTGAATAACATAACAAATGGCGCACCTCAAGGAGCTCCAATAAAAATGCAATATCCACCAACAATGCCACAGCCCAGAGCTCAATTTTATGGACACAACCCTAACTTGAAACGTACGTCTTTCAGCAAAGGCTATCTCAGATTAAATGTCAGAATTTAGTCATAGTCGCATGTTGAGTTATAATTTTTTCGTGTTACAGTGCCACCGGATCTCTTTTTATTGGGCTGTATTTTTGTAATTGTCGAATATGACGTACAGGATGCCGAAGAGGTAGTCGTCTGGAAACAAGTTATCGAAAGACACGGAGGGGAAGTAGAACCACAATATTGTGCCAGAGTAACGCATGTTCTGGCAGTAACGCAAAAGCATTCCATAGTAGTGCAGGCATTGCGTGAGGGTAAACGTTGCGTGAGTGCTCATTGGCTTTCTGATGTTGTGAGTAAACAACAAGTTGTACCACCCTGGCATGCACTTCATTTTCCAACGCCTTTTGGTTTGAACGAGTTGCCTTGCTCGAAGCAAATTATATCACTGTCTGGCTTTGACGGGGAGGAAAGATTAAAAGTCAAATTTATGCTCGAGGCTCTGGGAGCTAAACTTACAAATTACTTTTCTCGACATAATACACTACTTGTGTGTAGACGGTAAGCCTTGGGAATCTAGAAAGCACTGGCGTAACTAACATTGGCAATGGTAGAGTTCATTGTTTTGTTACTTTTCAGACCGGACGGACAGAAGTATAAAAAGGCAAGAGAGTGGCAAACGGGTGTTGTTAATGCACAATGGTTAACGGATTTACTTTGTGGACAAATGACTGCATTGCATCAACCAGAGGCACCAAAGTATCAACAGTTTAGTCTGGGAAATCCATTCAGACTCGATTATTCTCTAGTGCCTCATCTTATGGGTATTTATTATAGACTATATTATATCTTAAAATTGTGAACAAGAAATATACTTTAATTCTACTGAATTTTACAGCGGCGTGGAAGATGCCAATAAACATAACACAAGAATCATATGATAAAGTTAAACAAGTGGGTCAAGGACCGAATGCAATGAGAAAATATAAAAAGCCTAGATTGGATCCACCATTGTTGAACAAGGATCTGCATCTTTTGGGATTGGAAGAATCTATAGTTGTTAGCAATCCAGATCCTCCTCCGCTAGATAAGCAGCCTAGAATACTTTTTTCCGGAATTAATCCTAGAAAGCATGCCAAGGTAATACAATTTTCAGTAATGTACAAGTAACTGACGAATACTAATTGTACAGTGATTAATATCATTTTTGTACGTATTCAGAGGATCAGAGAACTCGGAGGTGCTTTGGCCGCCAGTTGGCGTGACGCTACACATCTCGTTATGTCTGCGCCAGTTCGAACAGTCAAACTGTTATGTTGTCTGTCGCGTTGTAAATATATTGTGACACTACAATGGCTGCTTGATTGTTCCACCAGGAACACATTCCTCGATGAGGCATCGTATATGTTGGGTGATCCAGAATTCGAGAAGAATTTCAATTGCAATATCGAAAAGGCATTGGCGAGTCCTAATCGTGGGACAGTACTTAAGGTACATAGATTATATAACATGTTTTAAATGAATCATACAACGCAATTGTTTTAAATCAAATTCATTTTCAAAAACAGGGCAGAACATTCTACGTGACACCAAGTGTTATTCCATCTCCTTCTGCCATTGCTGATATAATTGAAAGTGCAGGTGGAATAATGGAAAAGACACGGAGATCATTGACTCAAATTCAGGAAATGAACAGTACCAAACTCAACTACGTCATTGTCACGCATGAAAAGGATCTGCACCTGCTTGCTGATGTTTTGCGTGCTAAAATAAGTAAGTCCCTATTGATTATAATTTTACACAGTTGATTTACTGTAGTTTCTTGTTCTTCGTAGGTGTGTTCAGTGCTGAAATTGTACTTGGTGCTGTAGCACGACAATGTTTTCAACCTGACATGAGTCAAATATGATTGCGTTAAACGCAATCACTTTTACTCGCTTACAACCATCTAACAAACTTACAGAAACTTCGGTGAGTTATTTTACGGATTAGAACATTTTTACCTACCTTTCTTCAACGGGACAATAAAGAACATAATTTTATGGTACTGCGTGATTGTTTATCATCTCTCTCACTTGATGCAGTATCCTTTACTTAACTACGTACACCTATATGATATCAGTCGGTTAGAATGGCGTTTCGGGTTCTTAATTCTTATGTTCGATTTATCTTTTGCACGCGCCACTACCTTTGCTACTCTTCGATCAAACAGCGAGTACAATTACTCAGGTAATAACACGTTGTTCACGTCTATGTTGCAATATCAGTTTTGTGTGGAAGAAAGAGTACAATGATCGTTTATGTAAATCATCGATTGGGTTAGGTTGTAAAAAGATCTTTATTATCTTCTAATTAAAAGTCAATCAAATGCGTATCAGCTCCTGTTATATATGTTTATAGTAATTCATAATATTCAATATGCATTGGTTGAATTATGTTTGTTTCTATTAAATAGCAACCTCGAAACACATCAACAACGAATTGCAATTTAGATATGAGTTCTATCGATTATAATTAGAGTTTTAGACGTTTGTGGGGAATTTAATTTGTCATTTTTCGAAAAAGTTTCTCAGCTTTTTTTAAAATGTATTTATCTTTATTCAAACTTCGACATTAACTGCTCCGTAACCTTCGTACGAAATTACAGTAACAAACTCAGTGGCTAGTTGACGAATATTTTTATCGACACTCTCCTGGTTTTCTAGACGTTGCAAAATCCATGACAGCATTTTAGCCCTTGTTGGATGTTCAGTAACATTGATCTTGGCACCAAGCATTTGCTCAAGATTCTCCTGCGATAATGTGTCACATAACAGTTTGTATTCCTTTGAATGAATTTCTAGTTCCGGCAATGCTTGCAAAATATTAGTCAAGTTTAGGTTCTTCTTCGGCCTTTCTTCATAATATTCGTATATGTAATTCATTGAGGATAGATCTGAACATTCGTAAGTATCGTTTTGGCTGCTCACATCCAGGAATTCTATTATAGCTGACTGAAGTGCATGATTTTTAATAACGCCTGCATCCTGTAATCCCTGCAGTATCCGTAAAACTAAACAGGAAGGTCCATAACACTCTGTTTCTTTCATATAAGCTAAAGACTTGTGCCAGGATGTGAAAGATATGCTTTGTTCTAAGCCGTCTTTGATGTCTCCAATAAGTCTATTAACTCTGGGACTTTTATTATCACTTTTCATTCCTTGTAGTATAGATTTTATGACATTAGGATTTCTTGGTACTTGTTGCCAATTACGATGATTATATTGGCTCATCATTCTGCTGTAACAGTTCTCTATTATATCACTGAGGCCACTGTGGAGTCTGGGTTGATGACGTCTTAGCCTGCTGATTACAGCGACTAACAGTTCCTTACGCTCAGCATAATCAAATATTTGGAAGCCATGGAAAATTTCATTAATGTCCAAGTCACCATTTTCTATAGCCGATAACAGCAATTTACCTTCTTCAGTATCCCCAAGAGTGGAGTCACTTGAAACTAATAGAGTAAAGTTAATGATGCCATTGTTAACAAAACCATTAAGATCTGACGTACTGATATCTGATAATTTTAAAAATGGAAAAATCCTTCTAACTGTATCCATCATACTATTATCCTTTGCCACAGTTAAGAGTGCACGTTGCAAAAGGTTATAAGGATTTAGCGTCCACTCCAAGTCCTCCAGCTGGCTTTCCATTGTAGAAAATTTATTAATCAGTAGGAGAACAGCTTCCTTGGTCCAAGGATCTTCAGCTGGTATTATTACATTAGATAAAATAAATCCTAGAAATTTCCCACTAGGTTTCAACAAACCGGTAATTATTGCTGCAGTTGTTGATCCCACAAAATCAGGCCAAAAGTGGCGACCAGATTTTAATCCACTTGGAAGATTAATAGACATTCCAGCATTTCGTAAATCTATTAAAGATATTTCATCGAAGGGATCAGCTATCAATGTATCATTCTCTGAATGAAGGGACTCATAAACCTCCAAGGATTCTCTGAGAAGATATTTTCTAAGCACAGAAACAGCCGGCAAAAGAAATCTTGGCAAGTGATCCTCCATGCTGAAGAAGATTCCATCAATCTGCTGGTTTGTGGAAATATGCGAAAAAGCTGGTAAATTCTCCAAGGAGTCTAACAAAGATCCACCATTATTAAAAAAGTCCTGAAGCAGTCTCATCGATTGAGCGACCTCATAATCCTTGGTCGGTAATTGATTCAATATTTTGGATAAATTTTCACGAAGTTTATTTGCCACTTGAAACTTTAGTGTAACACTTTCTTCTAGAGAGTCGCTCTCTAAAATGGCTATCGTAACCTGAATAAATGCTACAACTAACAAGACGCAATGGAACTGCATTGTGCTCCCTTAAAACTTCAGATTACACTGTCGATTCTGGACCATGAACGGTGCATATTAAATGTTAGTCTTATGTCAGATCGGTCGTTACACTTTTAGTGGCCCTGATCTTGCATTGGACCTTGATCGAGCGTGTAGTGATTTATTTAAGAAACGAGAGTAGAATCATAAAGAGAACTAACTATACTCGACGATGCATAAAGTATCGGATAAGAGAAACAAGTCTGATATACTATCGAAATTTCCGATAGCAAAATTAATTGCATTGTGACGATAATAACAATTAATTATGGAGAACAAAAACAGAAATCACACCTAGATTCTTTTTTTTTTATTTAATCAATAATTTAATAATTTAACTATAAGCGTTTGTAAGATTGAGTACAATAAATTAACAGTAAATTCCTATTGAGCACATTCGGATATGATGCCACGACATTTTTACCGTACGATGAGACATACTCCATTAAGATTACTTAAATAATAGAAAGCTTTCATCAAATATAAATTAATGTCACTTACAGTCACTGAAAGAACAAAACATTCTGTTTACACGTTGAAAAACGAAACAGTACTATGTGCATATTCCAAGCTCTTTTAGTATCATCTTACAGATGAAATTTCCTTTAGCACCTCTTTAAGAGGCTACACTTTCAGTCTAATTCGAACAAGAAAGACTTGTATGCTAATGTTTTACATGGGAAAAATAATTATAATAATACATCATGTAGATTCGATTTGCTTTCGAATCCACACGAGATACTTGGCAACATCAACATATACGACGTACTGTGACCAATCGCAAGTATTCGTAGCCGAATTAAATAATGATAATGAAACGACGCCCCTCAGGTGATATCTACCTGTATTCGGATCACGCAAAACCAGACCGCTACCGCTGTCACCGTTACAAGGACCACTACCGTCCCTGGAACCGGCGCATAAGGTACGATTTGACGTTGATTTGAGAAAACCTTCGTTACTTCGTAGACAGACTTCCTAGAGAATCAAGATGAACAATTATGAAGTAACATTGACAATTGAGAGTAATAGTTTTATTTATTATTTTTAGTACCTGGGAAACAATAGGTACTCTCGCCATGCGAGGTTCGGCTGTGTACTTATTGCCTTCCTCATCTCGACCCCATCCTACTACGTATCCCGTTTTACCGACGACGGAGTTCAGGTCGATGGGTCCTTTCCAAAGACATACGGGCTGTATGAGAGGCGTGAATACTACACGTTCACGAAGAACTAGAATAGCAATATCCGAATCTGCTCCACCATATCCGCCTCGTACATGATCAGAGTGAATCTTGATTTCAGAAACTTCCAGGTTCACCGAACCTTGCTCTCGCCAATTTCGTAACTTATTGCGTCCCAAGGATACCAGAAGAGTGCTAGCTGGCACGTCTGACTCATCGCTTAGCTCGAAACAATGGGCAGCTGTGAACGAAAGTGTTTCCAATCATTACTATCAAGATTAAGAGTATAAATTTTACACAAAATTTGTGTAGCATAGTTGACAGGCACTGGCAGGGTGTGGCAAATATCATTGATATATTCGAATATTTTTTTCACTTTAGATAAGTTCCTGTAGAAGCTAATGCCAACCGGGGAAACCGGATTGTTTGGAGAGTGCCATGTTGACACAGTCAACGCATGCAAATTCGATTTATTCCGAGGTACATATAACTACCTTCAAGATACTCTTTCGCAAATTAACATAAGTCAATCGTTTAACGTACTAATACAGTTGTATTTTATGTAAACATTAAATAGTTTTTTTATGTTAAGGTGCACCTTAAATAACTCGTCCTTACCAGAAATTACGTGTTTCTCAGTAATGAGACTGCCAGCACATTGAAATTCAAATTCTATTTTCACCAGGAAAATTGCAACCAACCATGGCCACCTTCCCGGTAATACCTTGTCACCTTTTGCAATAAGAAGATTTATACTTTTCGCATTAGGAAGACCGCAGGTCTCTTCTCCTGGTTTCACAATTGGAAAAGCATTTCCTGTGCCAGTGTACGGCGTAGAGTCTGGTTTTACACTAGGTACTAAATTTAGATTAGGTAATCGTGATATTGAGTTATTTGATGGATTTGGTATTGGCACTGGTCCGTCTTGCGCCAGAGATATCATCCTTGGCGGGAATAATGTATGTTCCAGTTCTATGGATGTCACTATCGAACCGATTGCTGAAATAAAATTAATAGTATAAATCAAATGGATTTACAATCTGTTTATAAAAATCATTAGAAAATTGAATTAATGATACAGGCGTGAAAGAAAAAACTGGCATGATAAACATACCTTTTGGACCCACACAATATTCCTGTTCATTGAATAAGAGTTTTGTTAACAAAGGAATGGGTTGGCGAACAGGAAAGTGAATTTTGTATGTCAATGAATTGCCTGCTTCCACCGCACGTATTGATTCCTCTTTAGATCTTGCCAGTTGTAATCGACCTACATAATTCTAGAAGACTGCTCAATTAGATTTCTATCCAAGCAGTAGAATCTGATGATTTAAACAATGTCTTATTATACATTTTAAAGATCCTTACCGTAGGTATGGCCGTAGCAATACTGAAATGAACTACTAAGTGAAGGGTTACGTCTTTTGGTGGTTGTGGTATGGAAATCCAACCCATAAGATCATTAGTTTTCTCATCGCGATAGTAATAGAAGTAATTTGGACATGGAGATTGCGCTACCGTAGTACTGATAACTTGAACCAACGGAAGTACAAGCAAAATCGCGCCGATCATCCTGAAGCGTGATAGCTGCAAAACGAAAAGGTAAATAAATTATTGCACTTATTTCTTTAAATCAATAAGGTTTTAATATGTCTAAAAAATAGCATATGCCATATATGTTATATAATACGAGTTCTGAAAATTTCTTCAATTTTGGAAAATGTTCTTATCGACTGATACTTTTTTTGATTCAGCAAATACTTTTTATGACTATCAAATAGTAAAATATGATGAATATGTATTTTAACGTGCGAAACAGCAATTCTATCTAAGTTATACATTTAAACGACTGGAGACTTTCAACGGCCATTTTGTTTCTCCTATTATGAAAATGGTAATTAACACAGAGTTAATTTATTATCTTTATCAAAATGGAGTGCATATATATTTCTACAGGTTCTACTGTTGTTGATACGATAGGGTGGTAAAAGATAATTGATAATTGAAGACAAAATATGCATGTAGAAGTTCAAAAGAGTAATGTTGCACATCAAAAACTGCATCCACTTCATGCTCTAACTTCTCAATTGTTCTTTATAAAAATGTCATGTAAGTAACGGACCAGGTTGTAAAAATTTCGTGCATTTCATTGACATTGAAATTTATCATTTCGTTCTGATAAATTATCATTTTCTATTTTGAGGTTATGATACGCTCTCAGTTTTATCGGGATCGGATCTATACCGGCCATATTGAATTTCAGCGGCTTTGTACATGCTGAGTTGTCTGTCACTTGACGTCGTAAAGAATGATAATTGAATGAGAGATCAGTGATAACTAAAAAATATATAAGTGCAAAATGTACCGACTAGGTACTGACATTTACAGCCGTAAATGACAGAATCGAAGGAAAACACTAGTTGAAATATATCGACAGTTTGGTCGGTATTTAGTGACTGTGCCCGAGCTGTCATTTTAGAAGCAAATATAAATTGTTGATATTTTTTACAAAACTATTACTATAACGTACGTGTCAACACATTTTGCAAATATAACAATTATTTAGACACACTATTCACAAGAGCAAAGTAATGTGTCGGAAATTTTTTTAAGTAAATAAACGTGTCGGTTTTACAGGGGCTATACACCATCTTCCCTCAACTACAAGTTCCAATATACGCTAGTAGATGGCCAAAGGCATCGTCAACAATCTCTAACAATCAGTGATCGTGCTGTGTACAAAAGGATTTTTTCTTATTCGCCAATTGAAACTATATGTTCCCATGCATTATCGTTGTTGCCGATGCATGAATTATCAATTACTTAGTATACATATTTATCATAAGCGAGCTATACAATTTTTCAATAACAGCCAAAATGGCATCCTTGATTTTTTATGTCGCCTATTGGTTGACATTCCCCGTGTACGAGAAATAACTCACAAATATGCGACACGTAATTATTTCCACCAGAAGTTTACACCAATTCACGTAACTATGGCTAACAATTTGAACTGTATAATTTGAAATTGAAAGTGTATGTACTCGGTGCAGAGATTTATGAATAAGAATGAAAGTAAAGTCAAGTCGTACATCAATATTCAGTTTGAAAATCAAATAATGTTTCAGAATCAGAACATTTTTTTCTATTCGAAGTACAGTATGTTTACGTCCCGCATATGATAAACACACCGTACAACGCTATAAATTTTATCTGAATATCTTCAAAATAACATAGAATCTTGTACGCAAAATGTCGATGAGGTTCTTGCATTATACATATAATTCATGATCTAACATTATCGTGACACTCACATTTCCATTCTTAGCACATAATATTTTCAATTAAAACAACAAAATTCTCGCTGTAGTATACAGTTTAACGTATAGCACCACGAATGGCCCAACAATCGAATCAATATTTTTATTATTCCCAACAGACACTCCTCTAACGAAAAACAAAAACTATACACTCAATTAAGTGTCACAATTGCACAAAATGTTTAAAACGACTGAGTGTACAGCAAAATAATTCAACCTATCCTTGGCCAAAGTAAAAAAAGGAGTGTGTCCACCAGTTCAGTTTTCCGGCTACTAAAATCACCGAGTGGGAACTCCTGATGAATACCTTCTCATACCGTCCAACGTCTACCCCACCAAAGGAATCACGTGTATGTAAAATATGAGTATTAAGAAAGTAACATAAAAGAGCAGTGTTATCCCTACTCCGTCGTGCAGCGGGATATGAGACTTCCCTACCATGTCACTTCTTGGACTTCCCTGACTATGATCATTGTGGAACAGGATCAGTTTCGATCAATCAAGATATTAGAACGGATATGCGAATTCCAAAACGGGAAATTCCAAGCTGCTACAGATTATTAATTTACATATTTACAGACGTCACAATATGATTTGTATTAATTTTTCTCTCCTTTCATCAGGAAATACTAATTTCTGTTTATATGTATTCTCTTTGTTCTATATTAATCACACCAAAATAATTGATGGTATATCGACTAACAAAACATTATTCGATTACATATTCTACCATGATACCAAATACGTCATCATCTTGAGACTCGTGTATTACCGCTATTGTCATTGTCCTCCATTCCCAATTCAATTCTCTTTGCACACAGAGACTGGGACTTCCCACCTTTTTCTTCATACTTCATTTTATAATGATCCTCATAAGAATTTCAACAGTATACTCGATGATTCACAGTTTTCCATATTATTAGTAACTTCTGATCAACGCGAATGATCCTCCCTGACTTCTTTTTGCTATTGAATCAGACTGCTCGAGTTTTTCATAACTTAAACGTTTATTCATTCAGCTTCGTATATATCTTATGCTAATGATAATAATAAAGTATTGTTTTGGCGTGCAGAGGAAAACAAAGTCAATTCTCTCCCATTAAAGGAAATCGTTACATTATTTTCCTCGTAGGGATAAATTCCAAGAGTTCCTGTTATCACTTCCATTATTCATGAACAAGTAGCTATAACAATTTTCGTGTATGTTTATAATTACTGACTAGACTATGCGCTCTGTATGATTGATTGAAATTTTGATATTGGTAAATATTAATAATGTAAAGCACTTACCCTCGATGTCCAAGTGGCTTCTGTTACAACAGTATAGTAGTTACTAAGAATTACGAACGGGACTGTCGTCGCCCAGCACGCGCGCAGTATTTACGTAGAGTCTGAAAAGCGATAATAACATAGAAGAAATATCAGTAGTATTATATATATATATATATAAAAATTGTTAGTAACTAAAACTTTTGTTTTGTAATACCTGCAACAGCTTATTGCGTTTCATAGAAGTTTGTGGATTTTTTGCTAATGCTTTGCAAAGGCGTCCAAGAAGATGATAGATTTTCATGAGTTTCTTCTTTCTGTTGCTGAAGTGTCTTTTTGGTTCTGTGAAAATGATTGGGAACAACAGTGCGGATTAATTTATATCCGTTTTATTTACTAGAAGAAACCTGGCTGTAAATGACTTCAGTTTTAGGCTCAGCCCACTATTGTTATGTTATGTTATATTTTACTTCCTCTTTGTAGTGGGCTGACAGATCTATATAGAGCTAGATCTCTAATCAGTTCACACAAGGTATCCACTGCAAAACTAATTCTTGATCGACTGACTTGCTACGAACTTATGTAAAATTAATTATCTGCTGTCTCACGATCAATGTCCGGGTGCATGATGACTTAATTTCAGCATCCTGTTAGGACCGTCAATGATTCTTTAGAAACTCAGTACAACTAACATACCAATAATGGAATGACAATTATTATAGAGTTCTTGCCAGAGGTTTTTTAATATCAATGATTTACTTCAGCATTCTGGATAAATAATCCTGATAATTCTTACGTTTTCTTCATTGGTGGTTTACCATTTTTTGTACTACATTTGAAATGCGATTCGGATGCAATACCTTGTACATAATTAGAAAAATGTTTGCGCATCTTCATTTGCGTACTATTCGTGGTTTAATTTTCAGACAAAAAAGAAAGTTATTTGAAAAAAGCTACAGTCTTGCTCATTAAATTGTTATGAACTTGAGCGGTTAGTTGACTGCACGATTCTTCGACTTGATACGAATTATTGAATGCCAGACGTTTGTACGTTGCACGTAGATAGAAATATAGAGAAACGTCATATTGAAAAATCATAATTAATGAACAATGTCTTATTTTATGTGCATAATTGATCTTTCTTAACCTTTTTATCGTGGACACAGTGAACTACAGAATGATGGACATCATCATTATTTATAGATGTAGATGGAAATTGTATGATAAAAATGAAGATGATAGTACTCGAATGCCTGTAATATCAGACTTGAATACAGATGACTTATTGGCTCTAGTGTGCATATACATATGTAGTGTGAATTATATTAAATGCATTTTTACATACTTTACCGTATATTCATGCCGTGACTATTACTGCTATCGCATGCGACGTCTTTTTATCTACGAAAACTTAGTAAGCAGTTCGTACATACATCATACTGCTTTGTAATTCTTGCTTTGACTCTTTGCGTGATACCTATAAATAGCATTATTCTACGTTTATAGGCTTCTACTATTACGCGTGCATTCTTTTACGCAGTGGATGTTGTATTTTTACCAATGATAACACCTCGTTCATTGAAATCTGCAAATTGTCACACAAGCTTCTTACTGCTGCTGCATAAAAGAATGCACTTTACTAGTATTAGGCATAAGTGCAGTGCATTTGAATTTCAAAGATGGTGCATTATGGGTACAGCGGTAAAGCAGCACGGAGGAGAAGAAAACAAACATAACCTTCAAAATTTGACACTTCGTCGATAACAGTTTGCTTGAGATTGGATGATTTTAAAGAAATTCGTCAATATATCGTTAAATAGTTTCTCATAGGAAACATAAATAATGGAGGAAATGGAATTAGAAGACGCTACTAAAGATGGCACGAATGAAAAATTGCCTGAAAATCCGGACGGTGAGAGTGTCGGCGAGGAAAGTTATATGCTTGAAAACGAGATTGAGGAGAAAATTAGTGACAACGATGAAAGTGATACAGATAACGACGACGAAGAAGATGCTGATGAGGCCGAGGTTAAAATGCTCCAGACATCCCTTGCGGATAATCCATACGACTATGCTGTTCACCTTGCATTGATTTCGAAGCTACAGAGAATGGGGGAATTGGAGCGATTGCGAGATGCACGTGAAAATATGAGTTCTAAGTATCCTTTGAGTCCAGAACTTTGGTTATCTTGGCTAAAAGACGAAATAACGCTAGCTACGACAAAGGAGCAGAAGGATGCTGTTGTAGAGCTTTGTGAAAGAGCAGTTAAAGATTACCTTTGTAAGTTTCTTCTAATGAATATTTCATGTAATACTATCATAGAAGTTAAAACTCTTGCAAATATATAAGTATTTTTTTTCAGCTATTGAAGTTTGGCTTGAGTATTTGCAATTTAGCATTGGTACTATGAGCACAGAGAAGGATGCTGCAAAACATATACGGCAACTATTCGAAAGAGCATTGACTGCTGTTGGTTTACACCTGACTAAGGGTGCGATCATATGGGAAGCATTTAGAGAATTTGAAAATATACTTGTCGCAGTGGTACATTCATACTAATATTGTTGGTACTTTATTAGTAATAAACATACCACACTAATCTCAGTGTATTTCATAAATTTAGATTGATCCGGCGAATCAAGCTGAAAGAAAAGAACAACTAGACCGAGTTGGTGCCCTCTTCCGGAGACAGTTGGCATGTCCACTTCTTGATATGGAGAAGACATATGAGGAGTATCGAGTTTGGCGTTCTCAGGACGGCGCTGAAGCTACTATCGATGATGACATCTTAAATGGCGGTTACGAACGTGCCCTTGCTAAGCTTAACATGCGTCTTCCTTATGAAGAGAAACTCGTTTCATGCCAGGGTGACAACGAGCTTTACGATGCATACAAAGCTTATTTTCTGTTTGAGAAACAAAACGGAGATCCTGGGCGAATCATTGTACTTTATGAGCGGGCTGTGGCTGATTTGAGCTTGGAAGCACCTCTCTGGCTAGACTATGTCACTTACCTGGAAACAAATATAAAGATTGAATCCGTCTTGGAACAGGTATACCAACGCTCCACAAGAAATGTACCTTGGTGTTCTAAAATCTGGGAAAAATGGATGCGGTCCTACGAAAAATGGAATAAACCCATCCTAGATGTACAAACCTTATTAGAAAACGCCTTGGCAGCAGGATTCTCTACAGCAAGTGAATATCGAAGTCTTTGGATGACATATTTGGAATATCTAAGACGTAGACTCGACCAGTCTTCTGAGGAGGAGAAATTGTTGGACATTTTACGTAACGCGTTTAACAGAGCTTGTGAACATTTAGCAAAATGTTTTGGCCTCGAAGGCGACCCGACTTGTATGATTTTACAATATTGGGCACGAACAGAAGCAATACATGGAAATGACATGGAAAGAGCTAGATCTCTGTGGTCGGACATTTTATCGCAGGGTCATTCATCAACCGCTGCTACTTGGTTGGAATATATCTCATTAGAAAGATGTTACGGCGACACAAAGCACCTGCGAAAGCTCTATCAAAAAGCTCTATCTTCTGTTAAAGATTGGCCTGAGAGTATTGCTAATGCTTGGTTAGATTTTGAACGAGATGAGGGAACTCTTGAACAGATGGAACTGTGTGAGGCGAAGACGAAGGAAAAACTCGATAAACTTGCTGAGGAAAGACAAAAGGTGCATCAGCAATCGACAACCCACGAAAATTCTCAGACAAAAAAGGTCAACAAGAGAAAACCAGAGGACACTGGCAGATGGAAAAATTTGGGTGATTCCCCGAAGAAAATTGCGAAGACAGAGAAAGCTTCGAGGCCAATATTAAGAGAGAGTTCCTTGAAGTTTGACAAAGATATCGCACCTCCACCTGGTTACAAAGAATCCGTACTAGAGAACCAAGGATCAAATTCAGGAATCTCGCCACCACCTGGCTTCAAACCCGAAAGCGAAGATAAAATGGATACAGACTCAAACCACGAGGTAGATGACAAAATCACAGTTTTTGTTAGCAATTTAGATTACACTGCTACTGAAGAGGAAATCAAAGAAGCCCTGAAACCCGCTGGACCTGTGACACTTTTTAAGATGATTCGTGATTACAAAGGTCGAAGTAAAGGATTCTGTTATGTGCAACTCAGCAGCCCAGTAAGAATCCTTTACTATGTCTTCGATATCATTAAATTCAGAATATTATTTTCCTCGTTATACGCACGTGACTTATCACTTTCATTTTACCACAGGAAGCTGTGAATGAAGCATTGAAACTAGACCGGACGCCAATAAACAGTCGCCCCATGTTTGTGTCTCGTTGCGATCCTAATAAAACAAATAGAGGTAGCGCTTTTAAATATAGTACATCATTGGAGAAGAATAAGCTTTTTGTGAAAGGTATAGATATAAATGTTTCAACATTTTACAGTTTTCAAAAAATTCTGCCGAATAATTACACTAAATATAATTGGATCATTTTTTTTCAAAGGACTTCCGGTTTCCATAACAAAAGAGGATCTCATCGATATATTCAAAGTCCATGGGACCTTAAAAGACGTTCGCTTAGTAACTTACCGTAATGGACATTCAAAAGGATTGGCTTACGTGGATTTTGAGACCGTGGCCGACGCTGCTAAAGCTCTTCTGGCCACCGACGGTATGACCCTTCAGGATAAGGTAATCAGCGTTGCTATTAGTCAACCTCCAGAACGTAAGAGACCTCCGGTAGCTGATGAGGTTTCTCAGGTAAAGTCTCTCGGTGGTACTTCCACTAGTAGAAGTACATTTGGCATGCCGAAAACCCTACTGACTATGGTTCCACGTAACGTTAAACCCGTGGCAACGAACGGTAATACCGGTAAATCGGTAGATAATGATTCGCGCCCGACAATGAATAACCAAGATTTTCGAAATATGCTTTTGAATAAAAAATAACGCACTACCGCATTGAGGATTTAATTTTTTTTCCGATCGTGTCCTTGTTCGTCTTCCTAATCAGTCCATGAATGACACGTAGGAACAGCGAGTGGTTGAAAAAGCATTGCTACTACAAAATAAATACCTTTAATGGAATTACAGTCATATATACAGGGCAGACATACGTACGAATTACGTAAATTCACGTTTTTCACAATGTATCCATTGCAGCTTCATTCAGACTATATAAACCAAACCAAACAGACAACCGCTATACTGAAGTATACAGGTGCAACGTTTGGTAATGATTTTCGGAAAGGACGCTGCAATTTAGTCGATTAGCTTCGACTAATAGTTTACAGTGTATTATATTAAATTTAGATCTGTAAGGGTGCGCTTGACGTATTGTGTTTTCTGTGTCTTGGCGGTGCGATCGGTATGCTCGCTGGAGCCAACGATTTTCCAGCTATGAGCCATTGTTTAGCTCTACCCGCGTGATAGTAATACGAATAAAGCAACGCCATAGCAGCCAGCACCACCAAAAGGCACGTACCAGCGATGACCAGGCTGAACATCCAGTAAGGTCCAGACATCTCGGGTACAGATGCTGGTTCCGTTGGAGAAATGTCCGACTGTTTTGTCGTCGGTCTTGTAGGAGTTGGACCCATCTCTGGCGTAACTGGTCTTGGCGGAAGTGTCTCTTCATCATCGCCAATAGTCACATCCGCACATGCTCTGAACTCTTCCTGGGGACCACAGCCTACAGCACCTATTGAAACAACGTGTAAAAAGTTATTGAATATTGTTTAGTTTATATTTTTCTTCGGAAAATACGTAAAATGCATTACACGTGCAGCATATGCGTTGAATACTAATGATAATTGTAATGCAATTACATCACAAAATATTTACGTAATAGTTATTATTGATTTGTTAACATTATTAATAGCACTTTCTAATGCGCCTATCGAATTTCAATAGCTGTTCTTTGTACCGACCTGCTGTATCAAATATGGCGGTTCGAATTACAAGTCAATTTTATTAACGTACCTGTACCGTTTCCACAATCTCCCCAGTTATTACCAGCAACGTATCGCCATTGAAAAACGCATTGAGCACAAGTCAGATCATCTGGTAACTTGTAATATGCTTGAAAAATACGATTTCCGGGACCAGGGTAGTAACGAGTGGTACCATTGTCACCACGGAGAACATGTTTATCTAGACATTCTTGGGTTACTTCTTCTCCTCGTACTGTCATTGGGCAAACACGGAATTCGAAATATCCATGATGATTAGCTGTCAATTCCACGTGGACTGGAATTATTGAACCAGTTTTGTATCTTCTGACTATAATGCTGTTGCCATACTTGCCACCAGTTTCATGGGCACGTGGCTAACAAATGAAATATTAATTTTTGATTACAGATACTATACGTTTATTAACTCATTATGGTAAGGTCACACCATCATCCAGATATCCTTCAAAGGGTTAATTCTTAGCGAAGGATATTGAGGATATGGATTCATTGAAAAATGAATTCTATGTACCGCTCGAAGATCCCATGCGTCTCCACATATTCCACACTTGCCCTTATTGCGTTGCCATTGTCTACTGAAACCTCCACAGTAAGTTTCATGGTCATTGTAATCATGGGGTGTCTCAAAACCATAACGCCACATTGAAGCTCTTGATGGTGGCTCTATCAATCTTCCATGTGACGATACCTGGACGACAAGTACACTACCGATGAAGGCCAGGAGAATATGTGTAGAAATCATTGTGATTTATGAATCTGAAATTAAAAAATCATTCTCATGTATTGTTTTCAGTGTCAGTCAATACATTATGCTGGATGCGTTTTCTCTTTGAAAAAGTGCCCTGCAGAAATTGATCATGACTAAGTGGTGGAAGGATTCAGGAAGAAATTACCGATTGTTCAACAGGAAAGGCGCGAATCGATAATTTATTCAGGGACAATGGACTCGCATATCATCACAGTGGAAATGCTGATTCGTTACCTTATACTGATTCTAATTGTAAAAAAGAGTAACTTGAGTTTCAATGTTCTATGTTTCATTTACGCTATCACTTTTTATTATTATTGATTTAACTAGTGTTTATTATTTTCTTCATCTAGTATTTATTATTGGCAATTGTGTAACGAATGAATTTTTAATTTTATAGTTTAATCGATTGACTTCATCGTGACGAATGGCAAGGAGAAAGGAACCGTGATAAATGATATTTTTCGAAAGAGAGAGATACGTCGATATAATTGCCACATAAAGATTTGACGGAGTAACGAATGACAAGAAGAAGAAAGGAATTAGAAAGCAATGAAATTGATCGGAGACACTACCCCGTGGGAAATCAATAGGAAAATCCGATCGAGCGAATACTTTTTCTTTACGTAAGCTCCTCGAATAATTGATGATCCGATCTGCTCAGGAAAGATTTCTCAATAAACAGGATGATCGGACTTGATCGTATTCCAGACATTTCGCAACTTCTTTTGTTCATTTATTATTATTTCCACGAAAGCTCACAATAGAGAAACATCATGGATGGCACAACGGTTCAAAGAAAATGTTATCTCTAACTATCTAAGATCGTCTATCGGTTTATTTGAATATTAGCACCGTTAGAGATTAGAGTTTAAGGATGGGTAAGTGTTTGCATCTATCTGGTCGAAGATGCGCACAAGTATTAAAAAGGGGTTTCGGTCTTGTAAATAATACATTGCTTATCAGTTTATATCGTCAAACGAAAAACGTTTGAGAATTCACCACTTTCGCGCAGGTACACATAATGCTTTGTAATTAAGTAGCCATTTATTAGCTTTCTGCTATAAGCGAGGTAACGCGTTACTACGTGAAAGAAAACTTATTTACTTGAAAAATTCTTTGTCAGGAAATAATAAAATTCTATACTAACTTATTGTCAATTCTAAAAAGAGAATATCACAAGACGTTTGTTCGGAGTAAGAGAATACACCAAATATTTTTTAGCGAATAGTTTGTCTCTTAAGCCGGTATAAATTTCTTAAAGCGCACTTACTCAAATGTCAGTGGTACTAATTCCCCGTATAATTACAGGATCTGTGCTATGCCGACATATAAACTATATAGCTGATGGAATTGTGATTCATGAATAACTGTTAGATAAATAACACTTACCGAACTAGCAGTTGGTTTAACTAATAACTAAACGGACCGTGAGCTAATGAACCTCTTAGCTCAATGTATTATGAAGTTAGACTGGCAGCGATGCCTAAGGAAAAGGCCCGGACCCCGTAACCACTCGTTCACGACTGAACTCGACTTTGTTGAACTGAACTCGGCTCCACACAGCGTAGGAGTAGGTCATTAGAACGAGGCGTATGCCCGCATTCGTGATGGGACAGTGTATACTGATACCCACTTTAGTATTTTCTCTAGTATAAAGACGTTCTCTAGGAAACTATCGAAACGCACTATTTCATCGCTGTACAATTCCTATAGGTAAAACGTAAGACACCTAAAAACCTAGGTATTATCTTATTGCAACATGTCTTTTGAAATTTTAAATTATAATGATTGAGACTCATCCTAGGATTTCTCAAGTTACACTTGAATAACCATGAAAAAGAAATTTAGTTATCGTTCAATACAATGATAGGACTTGGACTGTATTGAATTTGCTTCGTCAAAGGTAGTGATTCACTACTAATTATTTTTTTTCTATTATCACTAGTTATGCTAACTCGTTTATTTTATCTAATATGCCAGGCTGTTCAGCCCAAACGCACCATCTGAACATGGTTTTTTCATAAGACTGTAATGAGTGCGCTAACTTCAGGTGGTGCGTTTCTACTGAATAACCCTGCATATAATTTAACGTTGTCTAAGAACATTTTCAGTTATCATCCAAAGTATTGTTTTGTATCTAAATAGGAACTATAGTAAGTGAAATTAAAATAAGACATTATTCTCTATATTATTCTTATCTGTCCCTTAGAAACGACACGAGTGAAATTCAAGAACCCACAACGATCTATAGGACGATACAGAAGTACATTATAATAGCACCTACCTAAAAAAAATCTCAGGATTTGTCGCTTTCCCGTAGGAAGAGTGAAACCCAAGATGATATCAATGTCCTCCAGTTAAACAGAAAAGCACTGGCGGTGAGAAAACCGCAAAAGACACTGTCAAGTCTTTATTCCCAATGAAATAACAAGATTTCTTGAAATTTCTAGCTCAGAATATTGACATGCTTCGATGATTACACGCACCACCACTGGTTGTACTCGCACCCCGAAGACCTCAACGCTCCGAATGAGACTAGTTCGTGCAAGATGGAGTGAATCAGCCAATGGTGATTCGTGGCTTCAGCGTCTACAAAAAACTTACTTTTATATTAGTATATACAAAGCATAGCCACATGATGGTGGAAGATCTCAATACTATAGTTATAATAAATCTGGGAGAAAATCAAGGCTGAACGAGTAATAGAGAGAGTGTTCAAAAATTGTCATTCTGATTCATGCTATATTGTGGTCTAGTCCAGTATATATGTGTATATATATATATAGACTGTACGTTGGATATACTATATAAGCATGAAGTCCTACAACCCTGTCGCGACGATATGTGTATACTTCATGTATATAGATCTCTAAGGCGAGGCTGGTAACGAAGGTCTACAACCTGGATCATGGACAGGACAATTTAAGGCTACCTTCCTTTAGTATGTGTTTGTCAGTTTACAGAGACTTGAACAGTATAACCGGTTAACCGGTCTTTCGTTGGGTCCTCCTACGTTACAGTATGCGCACGACCATAACTGTATTGTTTCGGTACCTTATACGTGTTGAGTAACGGATACTACATATATTTAACATGTTCCCACTATTTTTCATACTCCCGGAACCGCAATGGATTTTGTATGCAGATTAATATAATCACAGTTCAATAATACGCAAATGAGAAATCAGGTTAGATCTTATGATGAGAAACGATTTCTTGAAAATAATGATGAAGGTACCTACGATCAATGAAACACATTCGTCCTCAAGTTTCTCAAGATTTTCAGACTACATTCACTGTAAACTTAATCACCCTTTGTACCTATGCAATTAATACAGAATTGTGGAATGATCCAGCGAATAGCTACTTTCTTGTTTCTACCTGGAGCGTGTTAAACATTCTTAACACTAAACCTACCAGAGCGGTCAAATGACCGCTTTTGAGACTTTAATCAAAATTGTTAAATTCCAGGTTTTTATTTTTCTTGAACTTACTGCACGACTATGCTAAATTCTGTATTAATTACAATCAACTGGAAAAGACTATAACGTTTATTTCAAAAGCGGTTTATTGACAGCCATCGGTAGAAATATGTATATATAATATGTCGGTAGGTTTAGTGTTAATCATCTTGAAGCTCTTTTATGAATCGAGAGAAAAGAATAGAAATATTTATATCGATATACCTCATTAATATTTGCTTATTTTAGTTACGTTGATTAATAACATCTTACGCATTAGTGTTAAAGCAATTGAAATGTTCAGGGCGTAGTTTTCTCATTGAATTGTAACTTTTTCGTGATAATTGCCTGTTATTCTCGCTGTCGTTGGTTGCTCCACATCGCTTCGGCCCGTTACTTACTCCTGTCACCTCAGTAATGCGACTCATTGTCGGATGAAAGTTTGCAAGGAATTTCAAGCGGTTCATTTTATCGCATTTCTCCGAGTGAATGAAAACTATTCACTGTGACTGTTCAGCTGGTAGCTAATGTAGCGAATGAACCACGTAGAAAAGTCATCACTGCAAATCGCATGCGTCTTGCTATATTATCATGGGAATGGATGAATCATAAACATGATCCACCAGACCACATAACTGCAGTGAGTCGTGTCCTTCTCGGAAACTTTTCGTTTTTAATTACAACCTTAGGAAATGCAAATGACTCGAAAGGCGTACATACTTAGGAACTCTAGAAGAATTGAAGAATGTATATGTATATAAAGCTAGAAAACATGCCAACGCATAACAGTTTGATTCGTTTATTTTATAGTATTTAAATTTCTTTTATATTCTATTTGAGAAAAATTAATTGAGCCATTTAATAAACTAGTTTTCTTAATAAATTATAGAATTAAAACTTATGGAATGTGATATTCAAAAAGAATTATAATTATTTGTCTACATATATTGCGGTCAGTGTTGGTTTTTACTGCCAACTCAGTTGGGGGTGTTGCCTTTTTGAAACATGGCTGATCATTGGTCATGCGGTTTACTGTCAGATAACTGTCAAACTAGCACTGTAACCTATAACTCCTACAATTTTTTGAATTTATTTTATAAAGATTCAAATTATGTCATCAGCCCATTTATCAAGTGGTAGATTAAATATAGGCTTAGTGCAAGAACAAGCGAGAAAACAATTACTGTGTTTGCTTGAGAAATGTGATGGAACAAAGGTTTGTTTTTTGCAAGTTAATGTTCAAGATAATATAACATAACATAACCCACGTCTATTTTGATATTTAATATTTGATACTATTAGAGTTGTTATTAAAATCAGAGGTCAAAATCAACTGTATGTATTGTCAAAAATGATTTTAAATAGGCTATCATATGGGATCAATCTTTGGCTGGTCCAATCGGTCTTGTTGCCAAATACAGTTTACTTCAGGAACATGACGTTGTTAAGATGTATCCTCTGTATGGTGGACAATTACCACCAACAAATGTGGCAAATGTTATATTTATCACAAGACCACATTTAGATCTTATGGATTTGATAGCTGAAAATATACATGGGTATGTAATTTTTGTTCACTTAGTAATGTATAAAAACAGTGTTATATTTTTATTTTGTTGTTTAGGGAGGAGGGTAGTAGAATACACAAGGAATTTCATTTATTCTTTGTACCCCGGAAAAGTTTATTGTGTGAGAAAAAATTGCAGAACCGTGGTGTCTTTGGCAACTTCACATTGATTGAAGAATTTTCCTGCGATCTATTTCCATTTGACAGTGATCTTGTTTCAATGGAATTAAGTGGAGCGTTTAAAGAATTCTTTTTGGAAAATGATCCTACGTGTCTTTATCAAGTTGCACAAGCTATCCAAAGCTTACAGAGATTTTATGGAAAAATACCAAAGGTCACTGGAAGAGGTCCTGCTGCAAGCAAAGTCTGGGATTTATTGAAACGACTGGATCGGGAAGAAGAAGATATTAAGACAAAAAACTCAAAACCAGCCCTTATTGAGCATTTGTTGTTACTGGACAGATCAGTAGATCTACTGTCACCTTTAGTCACACAATTAACGTACGAGGGCCTAATCGATGAAATATTCGGCATCAATAATTGTAAAGACAATTCTGCTTATGTAAATTTTATTTACTACTACTTTATTCATTTCTTACATTTAATGTATTGCAGCCACTGTAAAACTACCTGCTGAGAAGTTTCTCGACTCTGATGATTCACTGACTGAAACTACACTGAATAAAAAGGAACAAATTATTTTAAATTCAGGAGAAGAAATCTTTGCTGAAATCAGGTGAATAATAACTGAACTTCGTCTTCTATAATTAATATCTAAAAATAATGTTACGTTTCTATAAGGGATAAGAATTTCAATGGTGTTGGACCAGTTCTTAGTCGAAAAGCCAAAGTGATATCATCTCAATTCGATGAAAGACACGGTGATAAGAGTGTTCAAGAAATCAAACAATTTGTAGCCAAATTACCTCACATGATGGCTACGAAAAAATCCTTAGCCAGACGTAGGTATTCTTACACTTATTTTTCATTGAATAATTAAATCTTTACCTCATTTGTTTTACTTACAGACACAACCATAGCTGAAATGGTAAAAGAAGTAACAGATACCAGCAATTTCCTGGAAGCACTGCAAGTTGAACAAGAGTTATTAAATTGCATTGACACAGACAAACCCAATCCATATATTGAAGATCTAATAGCGCAACAAAAACCGCTCGTAAAGGTTTTGCGATTGCTTTGTATGCAATCTCTTACAAGCAGTGGTTTGAAATCAAAATTGGTCGATTATTACAAAAGGGAAATTATACAAACATATGGTTATCAACATTTGCCAACACTATTGAATTTAGAAAAAGTTGGATTATTCCGTGCTCAACAATCCGTTATACATTACCCTGTGCTGAGGAAAGCCTTGAGACTCACTGTCGAGGATGAAAGTGAAATAACGCCAAAAGATATTAGCTACGTCCATTCTATTTATGCTCCGTTAAGTGTTCGTTTAGCCGAGCAACTTGTTCGCCCTGGTGGTTGGCAAGGACTTCAAGATGTTCTTGGATGTTTACCTGGCCCTGCCGTGAATAGCGTTTCCCATAGTACAACTACGACTACTACAAGAAGTACAGGACTTTTTTTTTAATAAAAATTGTATGGCGCTAATTTCTCCCATTTGTGAAATAAGCAAATTCTTTTGTATTGTTTTACAGGAAATTCGATAAGTAGCGAGATTTCGAATTCAGAACCATCCAAATTAGTTTTGGTCTTTTTTATTGGAGGATGTACATATGCCGAAATTTCGGCTCTTCGATTTCTCTCTCAGCAAGAAGAATGTAAGTTACAATATATCCCTATAACGATTTAATATTCTCAGAGTTTAATATCTGCTGAATATCCTTCTATCCTTTTTGTTACAGTAAACGTTGAGTTCGTGGTGGGAACAACAAAATTAATTAATGGAAATACATTTCTCACTTCTTTAATGGAAGATTTAGAGAGCAATCAGTAAATGTGATGTAAAACTTTGTATCATTTTTATGTTCACGATATCAATACCAATATCTATTACGATGCTGACAATATAGTTTAGTGAGCGTAATGTTGTAAAAAGAAAAATAACATTTCTGTACTAAATGTGGAATTGAAAATTATTTTTATATGCCCATCAAATCACTGCATATTTGAAAATCAGGTCTAAATCTTGCCGGTATAGAAGAGAATTTTCTTATAGACCGTCCTGGATAGGGTTGGGCCAGGCAGGCCCAGATTAAAGGCGTTTCAAGTTATAGAAATGACCGCGTGGCGGCGCCACCTAGCATCAATACACGGCCGCCTCTCGCTCGGTAGCCACGGGTGAAAAGGCGTCAAAAACTTTGCGAATTCTCGTGTGTCCGGTGCCGTCGGGTGCCGTATTGTTGCGTCGTCAGCGGCTTATTCCTCGCGTATCGTGGCGTGCGTGTACGTGCGTGCGTGACACGTACGGGGCGTGTGCTTTATCCGGGGGCCAGGGTGTTCGGAGCAGGGCGTCTTGAAAAATCAGTCTGGCTAAGTAATATGCCTTGGAGATCGGCCGGACTCGGAATCAGGAGCTGAACGTTGTCCGAGCAGAGTATTCGGAGCGGCGCGCATGCTTCCGTGCACACTCTCGCCATTTTGGAGGTGAATATTATTTTTGCCAGCGTCGCTCTGGTCGCGCCAACCCTTTTACATCGCCCACTTCCCTTCGCACCAGGTCCTCCATTGGCATGCTTACGGACAGGGTCAGTGGAACCGTTGAGGACGACTAGCTCATCACTCTCTTACCCTGTCCCCGTCCTCATCGCCACCGCCACCGCCACCGTTACCGCGGCTCCACTTTCGGAGACCCAACCCTCTTTACGCCCGCATTTCTCGACACGAAACTCTCTCGCAACCCTCTGCTCTTTCTCTTTCCTTGTTTCTTTTTCTTTCTCCTTCTCTTTCTTCCTCATAGAACTCACTTCCGATTTGTGCTTGTACTACTATCATTCGGTAATATTTCTCTCCCTGTCTATCCTTTCTCTTTCTTTATTGCTTTCCCTCTAAATTAATTTTCCTTGCTTCCCTTCTTTCGTCCTTCCTTCCTTACTGACTTCCGTTTTTTTCCTCCTTCCGTTTTTTCATCATTTTACAAAGCCTGCTGCTGGCACACCTGAAAGATTCTGTTAGAGCACTAATTTAGAATCTTTATTATTTACTCATGGAGAATTTTTCACGAAGAATCATGAAGAATAATTTCGTTGTTAGGACGATCTTCAACACGACAGAACGTTTCCTCGTCGGTTCTCGCCAGGATATGTGTCACTTTGGTACGAATGACGTGACCAACGCATAACTGCACACAAGTGCATGTCAGTTCACTTATCATGTAGAAAAAATGTCTTTCTTTCTAAAGATCTTTTAATACTTTAAGTGGACTTTTGGCATTTTATTAGTTAAGGTTGTGATGTGCTATAAGTGTCAATGCAAGTTTACTCCTCTGTAAAGCTGGTACAGATTTTTGGAGTAACTGTCATTGCGGATAACCAAAATGTGACATTTTGTAATAGTATTTAATGTGGAATGCAATAGCAATTTCATGGTTATTTGGAACAGAAGGAATTTATCGATAGTTACTAACCCCTTCATAAGCATACGATTACTATGTGTTGTTTCTATTCAACAGTGTTTAATATAAGAAAACAGTTCTTCCTTTCTTGGACATGTGTTCATGACAAAACAATTGATTAATACATAAACTGGTTATCTTCAAAACTATGTGTTTATCTGGAACTAACACATTTATGTAATTGAAAACTTATAATTATGAGTCATTAGACATAGAATGTTTATCAAGATATCTCATGGATTTCTCTGTCAGTCCTTACATTCAAGGGATAATGTATAATGCATTTCCAAAATGCTCAGAAAATTATCAATGGACACTTTGGTTATTTGCATGTAACCAGGATGTCCACTAACTGTCATAATAGTAAAATTTCATATCTCATTCATTAGCGTGTCAACGCAAAATCCTCCAATCGAAATATTTAATTATCCGAAAATGATAAGTACTTCCCGCTATTATACCACACCAAAACAAGAATAGGTATATTCCAAAATTTACTATCAGTACAGCGAGAATGATTGTTTACTTTATTGCATACAGATAAGCAGGGATACGACGATACTCGTGGTACTAGCAGAAAATTTTGGAACATATTCAATATAAACGAATGATACATGAACTATTTTTCACGCGTTTCATGCATACCGATCGATGTGTGGCGGCAAATAAAACTATGTCCTAATCAAGAGTATTCAGTTAGAGTCATGAAGGATTATTCACCCCAATGAATTCGCATATAGGTCATGTATAAGATGGTATCTCTTGTGATTTAATACAGATTGAATGATGGCTTGGTGGACGGACTGACAGAGGATTTACCAGGATCGGAGGAGGATCGTCGAGGAGGAAACGGAAGGAACGATAGGAAAGCGCCGAGTGTGGAATAGGCCTCGGCCTTCCATACGTAAACTGCTTTATTATGCCGGCTGTTCCAAGGCCTGGAAGTCTTAAGGATCCAGAGATCGCTGAGCTGTTTGAGAAAAGTGATCCGGAGAAAATATTTGAAGACCTACGCGAAATTGGCCATGGGAGCTTCGGCGCCGTTTACTATGCACGATGTCTCGTCACCAAAGAAATCGTTGCCATCAAGAAGATGTCCTATCTGGGGAAACAAACTATGGAAAAGTGGCAGGACATTCTCAAAGAGATACGATTTCTAAGGCAACTCAATCACCCTAATACTATTGAATATAAAGGATGCTATCTCAGGGACCACACTGCCTGGGTAAGTTCATCGGAGAACGAACTTCCGTTTAATGATATCCGGAAGCGGCAAAAACGATATTATTTTATTATAATATGGTTTGCACTCCTCTAATGGTAAGAATATATCTTGTGGATTATAGCTAGTGATGGAATACTGCCTCGGCTCCGCGTCTGACATCATTGAAGTTCACAAACGGCCATTGAAGGAGGACGAGATAGCCGCCATTTGTGAAGGAGTCCTACGCGGGTTACATTATCTTCATTCTCTTGGTCGAATCCATAGAGACGTCAAAGCGGGAAATATTCTACTTACAGAAAATGGTACTGTAAAGCTGGCTGATTTTGGATCAGCCAGTATAAAATGTCCAGCCAACAGCTTTGTGGGCACTCCATATTGGATGGCACCCGAAGTTATCCTAGCGATGGACGAAGGACAATACGACGGAAAGGTGGACGTCTGGTCTTTAGGAATTACATGCATCGAATTAGGTACATATACTGAATAATAATATTTAATAGCTTAGTAACATTATAATGTGTTATGTAATTTTATTGCATATTTTATAATATTACAGCCGAACGAAAGCCACCCTATTTCAATATGAATGCCATGAGCGCCCTGTATCATATTGCCCAGAACGATACACCGACCTTGAATTCGCCTGATTGGACGGATGTCTTTTGTCACTTCGTCGAAGTATGCCTTACCAAAAGTCCTATGGAACGACCAACTTCGGGGAAACTGCTCTCAGTGAGTATTGCTAACTACTTTGGCTCGTCGAGCAAACCGGAGGATAGCTTGTCTTCCAGCAAATACAGCCCTGTCAGTATGAGAGCGTCTTATCTCGGAAACCGAAATCTTCCAGCATCAATTCGTGACGAGGACGAGATCACCCCAAGTTTTAATAGATCTTATCCAGAGAACGAAGGCTGCGGTCAGGGAATTGGACAATTTAAACTATAGAAAGATGAAGAAGATTTTGATGATCGACACTTGCGAGACTGAGAGTACTGTAGGAGATGGTGACGGTAAGTTATTTAATAATGCTTTTTACATTATATCGCATTTCGCAATAGAGCACAGACATTCAATTGAGTTCTGCTCGCGACGCAGACACTCCTGATGAACAAACAGGTGGGGACAGTAGTAAGAGCAATTCCATTACGTCCGAACATTCGATTCACTCGATGGGCGTTTCGGCAAGCTCTCAAAGTTCCTCCACGAACAGTCTACCACTGCCGAACGCGGATCCTAATGATTATTCCACGGGGTCTGTCAGAAATCGACACAAGGTTTCAGCCGGCGTTACTGCCAATCTTTTGGAGCATGGCGCGAATAATTTTGCCACAATTAGAACGACCTCCATCGTCACAAAGCAGCAGAAGGAGCACATGCAGGAGGAGATGCACGAGCAGATGAGCGGTTACAAGAGAATGAGGAGGGAGCATCAGGGAGCTTTGGTAAGTATCTCGACCGGGTTCTTCGAGGCGTACATCACTACGAAAGGACACAATGGCTACGGTTTTACGTTTTCGTTACGACATTGTGAACAGGTCAAACTCGAGGAACGCTGTAAAATGGAAATGGAATCACATAAGCAACTCTTGGATAAAGAGTATGAGACGCTACTGCAGCAGTTCAGTAAAGAATTGGAGAAATTGCAGTTCAGGCACTTGCAGGAGCTTGAACGTAAGCTCAAACAGAATCAAAATGCCGAGAAGAAGCTTCACAAGGAGATTACTAGCAGGCAAGAGGCTGATCGTAAAGCCTTGGAAACTCAGCAGAAGCGTGAATACAAGGTAGTATCCTTTACTTATTTGTAAATCTTTCACTAATACAGACTACATGAAGAACCATCACTTTGTATCTCGTGTGAAGGCATATAAGGAACGATGGAAGAAAGAACTATCACAAGACGAGGTAACTCCAAAAAGGCAACGTGACGCCACCCTCCAGAGTCAGAAGGATAACCTGAGACAAATGGAAGCTCAGGAGGAGCAACGACTCGCGCGAGGTCAAAGAGAATATCTCGATTTGGAAATTCGAAAGTTCCGCAGAAAAAAATTACTCATCTTTCACAGTCTCGAACAGGAGCTCTTACGAGAGGTTCGTAAAATTCCCCATAAATAAATGTCATATTTATCTTATCGTTAATAATAAAATATCTCATATTCTATTCAGGAACTGAATAAAAGACAGCAACAGCTAGAACAGGCTCATGCCATGCTATTGCGACATCACGAGAAAACGCAAGAACTTGAGTACAAGCAACAAAGAGCCGTTCATGCTCTTCGGGAAGATCAAGTTCATAGGCAACACGCCACTGAATTGTCAAACCAGCAAGACTATATGCAAAGGGCGGAACGAGACTTGCGCAAGAAGCATGCACTTGAACTGAAACAGCAGCCTAAGAGTCTCAAGGTACCTCAAATTTTTTAATAAAAAATTTCAATTTTTAACAATGAAATCGCTATGTTTTACTTCGTGCTTACAGCAAAAAGAAATGCAGATACGAAAACAATTTCGGGAAACCTGTAAAATCCAAACACGTCAGTACAAGGCGCTGAAGGCTCAAATACTTCAGACTACCGCAAAGGATGAGCAAAAAGCCGTGATCAAAAAGATGAAGGAAGAACAAAGGCGAAAGCTCGCTCTTCTCGGTGATCAATATGAACAGAGCATCGCTGAAATGCTTCAGAAACAAAGCATTCGACTTGATGAGTCGCAGGAAGTCGAGTGTCGTCACCTTAAGGTCAGTATTATTTAAAGTTAGTACCTAATAGAAATTCTCATATGATGCATGAAGTATTTATACAATATTACGACTGTTAATAGGAGAGACTAAACTATGAGCTAGAGATTCTCATGGCATATCAGTCAAAAAATAAGATGCAAGCTGAGGCTCAGAGGAATCGCGAGAGACGCGAACTCGAGGATCGTGTTTCAGTGAGACGAGCGTTACTGGAGCAGAAGATGGAACACGAGACTCAGGAGTTCCTTCAAGAACGTAGCGAAAGGATTCGTCTTCTTCATGAAAGGCAAGAACGAGAACTTCAGCAGTTCGATGAGGAAAGCGCAAGAATCGGATTTAGGTGAGTCAAAATACAATAAAATATTTTATATTTTCTTCTCGCTACTCATTCATTACTCGTAGTTTTATTAAAAGTTATATTTTGATTTCGTTTCAATATATATCTAAATGTTTTCATCTGCTAAACATACAGAGTGAATATAGTACAAGGAAAAATATACAACATGGATGTTTCTACACCTTGTTTCAGTGCACTGGCGATAGCCGAAGCATCGAAAGAGTCTTATCCGGACGACGAGAGCCTGAGCGGCTCGATGTTAAGTCTGGCTCACAGTAATAGCTCGACATCCTTTCCCCCTAATAATTACTAATCCTTAATTGTTAATTGTAATAATGTATGTTTGCCTGCAAACCGCGCATATCGAACTGCAGAGCTCTGGAACGTTCGTTAACTTATTCAGACCAGAAAGGAAGTGCTGTCTGGCGCGTGTAACAGCGGCCGCACTTCGTGAAATGGTAAAGTGAACGGAGCGAAAAGCAAGAACAAGTAATTGAGAGGAAATTATTAGCCGCATGAAGTCTGTCGGGAATGCGTATTGGATACGAACTTTGCAACAAGATATAATAGAAAGATAAACAAGAATGAATGACACTCTTCGTAATTCAAGACAAAAGAAAGAAACGTCCAATTTCCACTGATGGAAGCATAAGTCTCTTTTAACGGTCGAATCTGACAGTCTTCCATAGGGAAAAAGAAATGAACAAAGAAACACTATCGACAGCTAGTGCATCCCTCCAATATAATGGAAATACAAATAACAAATCCGATAGTGCCACTCGCCAACGAATTCTTTCATTCCGCTTACACAGTAAACAAGAATAAGGACAAGCAATCACATTCGATATACTCTCTGACACTATGTATCATCCTCATGAATCGTTGAACAAAGAAATATCCTAGACAAAAAAAGAAATGCGGTCAATAGTGCAATCGCGTATTCATCCAGTACACATCCCGATACCGTGCTCTTAATTATTAGACCATACTGTGACTCTTCGTTCCCTCGTTTCTTGGATCTTTGCAAATTTTCTTTGTTATATATTATATATATATATTATATATATATCCTATTATCATATTATAATATTAATTAATTAACTAATTAAATAATCAATTAAACGTCAGCTGATTGTGACAGTTTTACCATATGGTGATATACATATATGACTGATCATTAGACACGTTATGATGGTAACTCTTCTTATATGTCTGCCGAAAAAAATGTAGAGTTATGGATTGGAATCAGATAGCTATATACTTTTTAAAGGAAGTTCGTTTCTTCATAATAAAATTCTTTAATATCGCTGTGATGGATCAGTCGATCGGTTCTGTCACTAACTGATACAGAGTCGATCGATGCCGATCACTCATTGATTGTTTTGCGATTCGGACCAAGAACCGTATTCGTTGTTAGATGTTTAACGATTTTTCCCCCACTCGATCTCCACGTGATTCCATAAGAAAAACAAAAATTCAAAGGTCAAATTATCGTTTCAAATTGCCAAATTCCTATTAGCAAAGAACAAATTTTATTAATCGCTCACTTATTCGATAGGAGGTGCAGAAATTTTTAGTGCAATATATTATTATTATTACTGTGTTATATAATGTATCAGATATTTCGATACGTCTTTCGGTGTTTCAGCCAAATTATTCCAAAGCACCTGATACTCGTTGAGTACTTATCGTTCGAAAAGTTTGAATAATTGCCAATATAAATAATCTGTGATCGAGCCCGAGAAAAATCGTGCGCGTTCCCTATGTCAGCCCATGACTATTCGGGATCTTATAAAGCTTGTACGATATTTATTGGATGATTCTCGAATTATGTGTTCAATTATTGTGATATGGATGAGTTTACGCGTGCCAGACTGTGTAAGTCACTTATGGACGTTGACAGAGTTGAGAGTGTCTGAGCTAATGAAAACGAGAACGGAGCGATAATGAAATTGTCAAGTTTATGTGTTCAAAAATGTGGTTGTGATCGGTCAATAGAACAAAGCGGAAGTGGATAAGAAAAATGAAAAAGAAAGTGTCACAATCAACTGGCCTGACTTGGATATCATTTTATAGTGAAGCGAAATGTACATATACGAGATACACGACACGAATCGTAAAGTACTAACCGTTAATAATTCAAAAGTGGAAATGAATAGTGGTTAGAAAAGAATGGCCGTTTAGAGGGAAGGACCTTCCATGCGTCTCGTGTATTAGCGTTCGTGTACGAAGTCCGAGAGAGAAAAAGAGAGGCAATGTGAATCAGTGACAACCAATAAGAGAAATGGCTACCTTAGACTATTTTTTATTTAGAATTCCATCTAAGTTCGAGCACAAGTCTCCTTCGAAGTTGTTGATTAACTTTTACGAAAATTACAATTCTTCATTATCATGCGTCAAAGAGTTTTGAATAGTCTCAATGGATTCTTCTGTGTCCTCGAGAGTGCCTCGTGTTTTACCATTTTTTTTATTTTTTTTTTTTCTTGCACGATAAATCGTTATCGTTATCGCTATGACAGTACAAAATAACGCCATGAATACGACGAAACAATACCATGAGTATACAATGAGGAGTACGATCCGCGGTGTGCACCCGGATATTATTAATACGGAGTGAATGTAATGATTGACGGTTTTCTTTTACTGGCGAATTCTTTTAAATCGACATATTAATGAATTAATTTGTTTAATTATATACAATTAATTTGTCTCGATTATATATTTCTTTTATATGCTTCCGTAATGAATTAAAATGAGGCCATGCGTCTTTTTGTTGATGCTTTTGTATTTGAGTGATTCCATTGTATGTGAGTGGAATTATATGTGAAAAATATTCAGGGCCCAGCGTTGCATAGGAGATATGTGTTGGGTGATTTACGATGAAACTTTATTTAAGAAAGAGAAACAAAGGAAGGAAAATTCAATGAAGACAGTAGAAACATAAAGTATCGCCGAGCCTTTATTTAATTCGCTGTAAAATTGCCAAATAAAGCTCCAAAAAGTTTTTTCATTCCTGCTTTGAGGTACGAAGCGCCATGCGATTTTCTCGTGAAACATTTGTACCTTAGCGTTAATGAAAATTGTGCGAATAACTGTAAAGGGAAAGTTAAGGAAGAAAAAGAAAAAAATAAGTGTCTCTTAGTCTATATATATATAATGTGGGAGTTATTAATACATAGGCCAAGAAATAATGATGGACGATCGAATGAGAGTGTAGCTTGCGAATCGGTCTCTCTCTCTCTCTCTCTCTCTTTCTTTTTCTCTCTTTGTCCTACGAGGACTAAACTATTGTGCTTTTTACCAAAATGGTTACACGCGAATTTTCCGTATGCAAACCCTCGATGTATCGTTTGCCGCCTCACGAGATTCGTTAATTAGTAATTGATTTACTCAAGACCTAGCAATAAATAATTACTAATGGCAAGGCTGTAATACTAACTGCTACGACATCTTATATGACAAGTGAAAATAAAGCAGCGAGATTTTTAACGAACGTGGAAATCCTCGAGCGCTGTGACACGAACTCTCACCGGAACCGACTGTTTCCATGGTGCAAGAAAATTGAGGAAATGAAATGGAAAAGAAACGTGCCGCGGAGAAGTGATTTTAAAGACAATGGCAATCGATTTAGTGAGGTGTATTAATTTTATTGGAGGAAAGAGAGCAGAATAGTAACTTGCGATGTCGCTAATCTTTTTTCTTCTTTTTGTAAATACTCGCTCGCAATCTTAGGAGATTTCGGCGACATATGAGACAGCGAAAACACTTCCTTTTCGTTTGGAAGAGAAATAATGGAAAATTATAATTATCGGCTTGACCTACTATAGACGGGAAGGTTCACGTGAGAACTCAGCAATGTTACGCTTTCGATGCAGTCTCCGGCTTTAAAACTAGGCGAATTGTCATTTTTTATTTGTTCTAGCGATTATATGTAATGTTCGTTTAGTGACAAGGAAGTCTAGAAAGTTTAGTGAAACTCGATGGAAAGAATGAAAAATCTAGGACGATTCTCTACTTGTGTAATATTTTGTGTATGATGAAAATGTTACTACGTGGTATGAACTAATAGTTGGGAACACTTCGGCATGACAAGATACACAAGATACGTAATATATGAATAATGAACAGTATCGGTACGATTATTAATAATCTTTGTATTTCTTGTTTATGTCGAGCCAAAGACGTACAAAAGTTCTCTGTATTGAAGGAACAATAATTTGATTTACTTCTAGTTGCATTTTTATAAAAGTAGACAAGATTTTCTTCATTCCAGTTGGCTATTTGCCTGCTAATTTTCTTTTTTTTTCACTTTTCATTGCTTCCTTGCTTGGTTTGTATTCTTTGTTTCTTGTGTTTTTCTATTGCATCGTCTTCCAATTTTTGAGGAGAATATAGTCACTGTTCAAGACAATCGATGATCACCGCACCGAAACTCTTGAATAATGAAAAGAAACGAATCGTTGAGCAAAAGATTGAGAGAAAGAAAAGGAATTTGTTGTTGAAGAGTATGCCGAAGCGTTACCTAAGGAAAAGTAATCGTGGGTCGATGCGATGAATAATCTGCTCACGCGTAAAGAAAAAGGAAAAGAAAAAAACACTCAATTATAACATTAACTAGGTACATGCAAGTATAGATAAATATTCTCTATTATTATTATATAAATATATTATATAATATACATAAAAATTAAACTAAAGAAAACCAATACCTTCGTAGCGAGTAACCAATCGAGAGAAGATAAACGCTCGCATCGCGAGCGCAAAAACTTGCAATCGGTCTTAATAATTATAATTATGACGGTAATTAATTTTTTTTATCTTTAAGTTTAGGTAGAGTATAAATACATTTTTTAACTAAAATGATGGCTGGGGGAGAGCGAGTCTAGGCTGCAGTTCCTGAACGTGTGAATTTCAGGTTCGGCGCGAGCAGCTGTGAACTGTTCAAAGCCAGTATGCTGATTAGATAATAAAAATTGAAAGTATCAAATCACAAGAGACATCTCTTTCGAAACCTACTAATCTTTTATGTATTTTCCGAATTCCTCTAACAATATTCAGCCATACTTACAGTTACTTATCACTGTGGCATTTATCTTCTTATAATGCCGTTCACTAATTCGATATTTATATTTACGTTATCAGTTGCTTATAGATTATAGAGGATAATGACAAGCATCGTTCTAGAATCAAGTATATAGATCTGTATATTTTCCTACATAGTTTACAATTGTCTTGTGTGACAAATTCGACACATGATACGAAATTCATGGACTTGTATAGAGTCCGGACTTTGAACCAAAGTTTGGGAGTCCAGTAACCTGGTAAAATGCACCTTCCGTTTTCGTGATCTACATGATAAAAAAGAAAATACTTCGCCTCTTCTATTTCTGTCCCTGCCTTTTGTTATTGTTGCATCTAGACGACACCACGCGTATCGTGTAGCGTGTATTTGTATCCTTTTTTTCTTTACATTATCTTCAGACACTAATGAAGTTCATAATATTTATACAAATGCATACGAAATTCATAATAGCTAGAAAGTTACTTCGTAGGAGAGAATGAGGTTGGGTTTAAAACACGAGAATGCATTTCACGAATTAATGGTACGGTGTACGCGACACACTCGTCCCAACCTGGTGATCGCCATGCACTTTCACGAGTTTCCTTGCGAGATTGAAGATCCTTATAGCCTTGAGAAGAAAAATTAATGTTTGATATTGAATGTCCATGAACAATAGAAAAGAGATTAATAGAACTTACACCAGATATGATGAACATTGTAGAGTCGCCCAATTTGAGAGAAGAAACCAGCAAAAGCTTCATTATTGTTGCGTCTATAGTTTATAGCTCTTGCCCAATTATTTCCCCACTCTATCATTGTGCCAGGCTTTAAACTGTAGCTACGGATCTCATATTTATTGGCACCTTCCCGTTTTACAATCTGGGGCCAGTAACTGAATGCTAATAAATACTGAAGATGACGAGATCTTAGATAATTTCCCCTTTCCTTAAGCAAACGTTGATAGTCCTAAAAGTACAGAATGGTTCTGTTTGTCCAAAGATCACAAACAACATAATTTTAATGACATCTGAGAGGACATACCGCATCCTTGGAAAACATAGCTTGGGCACGGTCTATGCGTTCAAAACCTCCAGTATATTGCCACAAATGGAGGGCCTGATCAAGATCTCCAACTTCAACAGTCCATGATCCCACCAATTCACAATTCAATTCACCCTTTTTGGAATGAATGAAGTTAACATTTTCTTCACTGAAAATTAAACATGAAAGAAAAAAAAATTAAGCATTGCTCTTTAGATGAAAATACAATGACTTATTTAAATGGCAATTGCGTTTATCTTAATTGACTATTCAACAAGAGGTCAAAAAATTCAAACAAAATCTAATCGTGCAACGCGTTATCTAGATTATGTCATTTTAATGAAATTGAATTCTATTTGCTTTTTTTTTATAGGAACAAAATTTGGTAATGATTCAGCACCTAGTACGAGGCCTAAATTAAACCTGGTTAAAAGTCCAATGTGATGAAGAAGGTCACGTCGAGAAGTACTCACTAGTTCGCCAGATATTTATCGATGGAGTCAGGACGGATGTTGTGTGTATTCAGAGCATAAATGACCTCCTTGTCGGAGAGCATCCGCGAATGCGACTCCTTGGTAGGTTCTATCTTTCTCACAAGTAATTTGCTCAGCCATCCTTCGCTTAAATCTTGACGTTCAGACGACCTTGCCACGAATCTGGAAGAGAGTACTATAGTCTGCTAGATGAAACGAAGTCTGTGCACATGTAATAATTAATACACGGTTCATAAGATGTAGGACAAAGAGTATTAAAGAGGAGGACAACAACATTCTACAAGTCATACCTGACCGAGGACAAGGCCGGTAAATTCGCCTTGCCGATCACCGGCTGAAAAGCCCTGAACCTTCTTCCCAGAACGGCGGCCATTCTTATTGGAGCTTCTTCGACAAGTTTTTACTCAAGTTCCTCCAATCAAAATAAGGATTAGTTCTAGCGGGCGCCGAGCCGCAATCGTCGTTCTCGTCGTGCTTGTACGTCGCGACGCAGTGAGACGATCCCTCGGCAAATTGTGACGTAAGCCACAATTTATTTTTATTCATAATCTCCGAGTGTTGCTTTCCCGGCCCCTCCTGAGATAACGGATTCGAAGTTTCCCCCGAACTGTTGTCGCGGGCTCTGTTTAAAGGCTGGCAGTCTTTATTTATCACTCACTCGAGACGCACCTTTACTACGTAACGCATGCGCTACTAATTTGAATTTCATTTTGAAAATGTCCGCGTTCTATAGACATCTGCAAACTTTTTTAAATTACTTTTACATTTATATATATGGGCATTACTGTACGAATGCACCATTGATGTATTAAACCTTTTAGTTTGCTTCGTAAACATAGAATAAAATTCCATCATTGTAACTGTTTTCATGAGTTTCTTAGTTAATATAAGCACAAAACTACACAATTCGATACAATGCTAAACCATTATTTCTCTTAAAAACATTCTGATTTACCCAACCGGTCCTCGTTTGAATTGTGTGGTTCTATGCGTCTCCACCAGTCTCCACCGGCAAACGCCATTATCTCACTAGTTGCAGTGGTACAAAGAGTTACTTCTGCCACACCCTTTTTTATAATATTCATTTAATAATAATTACTTGTATTTACATTTTTTTCCTTCTTTTAATACTTCAGATTGTGACTTATACAAGGATCATTAAATTACATAGTCATGGATAAGAGAAATTTAAGGCTAAGAAATAGTTTACTATTTCCATCAGATAGCCAAAGATCAAATAGTCCAGTTTCCACTAGACAAACTAGTCGGTTGTCAATGAGGAGTGAGAAATCTACTGGATCTTCTATGCAAAAGTCACTCTCCATGAAGCGAAAGAAACCACAACTGGAATCACCAAATGCATCTAGCGATGAGAATGCTGAAACTTCTTCAACCTGTAGTCTGTCTCCAAAAAGAAAAAATACAAGGAGCACTCTCCCACAGGCAAAGTTAAGGTCACTTAGCGAGACAGATCCTAATTTGGTTGATCCAACAGCCATCTCTACACCTTACAATGAGCATTCCACACAGGATACCATTCGCAAAAGCCAATCAAAAGCAAATGCTAATAAACTTTTCAATGAAAACAGTAATTTGATTTCTGAAACACCAGTTAGAGTGACAAGATCATCTCAGGCTCGGTTTCAGCTTTCCGTATCACCTGAAAGCCAGTTGGATAATGAGCTCATTAGATTTTTTAATTCATCAGGAATTACTCTTTCGCAGAATGACAATCCACATGTACTTAGTAAGGATTTAATGATGCATTTATTTATGTAGTACATGGTATCACCAATATACTTACACAAGATTCTATTCATGTTTTCAGATGATGATGCACCTACAATAAGACAAAAAATGGAAACTCTATTTAGTACTCAGACCTTTAAGGTGAAAACAATATTAAGCCAGTGGCAAAAATATATTGAAAATGAAGATAATCTTCAGAAGAGCTTAAACAATACTAAAATAATTAGTGAACAAGATGCATTTGGTGATTTAAATAAAACATCTCTTGTTAGAATTTTACTGCAAGTGCCTTTGCTTCAAACGAAAATGATTAATTTTCTCCTGGAACGACTTACAGAAGCTATACTTGTAGCGTAAGAATTCGTGAATTTCGAATTAATGTTGTGTAATAATCAAACTAGTAAGACTGAATATATGGGGTTAAAATCATATACATATTTTACTTACAGTGACTCTCCAGATGATGTACCTTGGTGTGGTTTAATGCTGCAGCAGTTCCGCTTCATAGAGGAAATTTTAGATGTTGATAATCTCACATCTAAGCTTGAGGAACTCTTAGAATCATGTCCTACATGGTTTCAACGTGAATTAATATTATTCTTACCAGATATCATTATCGATTCACAGCATTATGCTATAGCAGAGGTTCTTATTAAGTCACTGGAATCTAATCCTGAATTGACTAATTCAATTTTGGAATGCATAAGCAATCTAACTCTTGGCAAACAGTATATGGAGGATTTGCGTGACAAAGTTCTAAATACTTTAAAAAGCCAATTACATATGGATATGCTACCTGCAGTGACCAAGTAAATGAGACTTCCATTTCATCAAATTAATAAACCAGAAGTTAATAGAACGTAGTTTTTATAAGGACTTGGTCATCTTTAGGTTTGTTCTTACGGATTGTACCACTGTGGAGTCTTATAAGAAAACACTATTAGCATTACGTGTGTTGGAAATGCAACCTCTAGCAGGTGAAAAATTGACTGATTGCTATACTAATCAAGTACTCATTATGAACGTCTTGAGGACAAATATATTGATATCAAAAAAGATGACCCAAGCAGCAATACAAATATTGAAGAGTGGCAATTCAAAGCCAATGCCTTTTGACATAATGTTGATGCTACTGATATTCCCTACGAATACAGTGAAAAAAAAAGATATTGAAACTGTTTTAAGGCAGCATATACGAGTAGGTTTGTATAAAGCCAGCCTACTCAATATTTTCTATAATGATTTTAAGGAGGTAAGGAGTTAAGTCATGGATCACGTCTTTTATTAAATTATGCGTAAAACTTTATTTATGAATAACTACAGGTCGCTAGAGAATTACAGTCAATAGCAATGAAATTAGCCAGCATCCTTCTGACTATGGAGGATCGAGTATACGTTGACTTTGCCACGGAATGGTTCAGACTCATGTTCGCCAGTCAAGCAGATGCTGTCTACAAGCAACGTGAGATCATTGAAAAAATAATTCTCCTCACAGGAAATTCTGGACATGTGTCGAAGAATGCATTTGCGGTTCTCTGCAAGATGTCCGAGAACGACGAAGATAGCAAATATTTGCAGACACACTGTAATCACCTAAGCATCCTCTTGGAGAAAATGGATAACTTGAGTTTAGAGGAAGTTGTCATGTTGAATGATCTCTTGCATGGATTGTGCACGAGCTCGAACACAACAGCTGATAATTTGAGGGACGACCTATTTATACTCCTGCGGAAACAATTGTCTAATACAAAACCTCTGTAAGACACATTATCGATAATTTAAAAAAATGATGTTGTTAGAGAAATTTAATGCTTATTTTTCTAGAATGAAATGTAAAGGTGTTCTGAGTGCTGTAATGGCGATTAAACATTTAGCAGGAAATGTGGAAACAACGGGACAAGCTACAGAAATATTTAGTGGGTTTATTTGATACTTTACTGCTTTTGTAATTATTATAACAGCCTATATTTATCATATAATTTTTTAACAGAACAAGTTGAAATAGCTGTGAAAAATTGTCCAAAATCAACAGCGTTGTTTTATGACAAACTGGCGGAGGTCATAGCGGCTTCTCAGAACATGGATCGTGATATTCTTAATTATTTTACGTCTCACTTTGAGAATCTTTTCATTGAAATATACATGATTGATAAAACTAACTATAAGTAAGTATTACTAAGACTATTGTTTCAATCTTCTGATGTGAATGACATTGACAGCGGTGATCTCGTACCAAAATATGATTTAAATGAATCGAATGATGATGCACAATCATGCGTCATTAAAATCAGTGAGGGCAAATATGGTGGAACTATTTTGACATTGTTCCGTTTACTCAGAACATGTTATATGATTGCATATAATGGAGATTTAAAGCATATAAATATGCTTCTAGGATGCGGCATTCTGTTGCCTAATAATTTGGACTCACCTGAGCCAGAAGTAATTGATCTCGTTATACACTGTATTAACTGGTAATTCACCAATGAAATTTAATAATATATAGATACAGGAAAACAAAGCTTTTCAAATGAATTATTATGGTACAGGTTTCGGGAGGTGATAAACGCCTTTGTGAAGGATCCCGATCCTCTTATGCAGAAACAAGTTCTGCAGAGACTTGATGATCTGATTAATCTGCAGGGAGAATTGCATACACTTATTACACTGTGCGGTACACATTATCAGCCACCTCCTTGTTATTTTCACTATTTTCCGGCACCGGAATTTGAACGCCTTAAGAAAGGAACTAGAAGCAAAGGGAAAAAAGCGAGTATGGATAAATCTAGCTGCTTGGCTGATTGGCAATCCTGGCAAATGGGTTCTTCGCTGTGCCTTAAAAATCCTGCATATTTCCGACGTTTGGAAGCTAAAGTAATAAATAGCATGCAATACATTCATTTTATGAAACTTGAATATTTTGAACATTTTTAGGTAGCTCATATACTCGATGTTAGAATGAATGTCTATGCATCTCAGGGTTCATCACGAAATATCTCAGTAGCTCAAGTCTGTTTTGTGGTTCAAGAATTGTTAGATATGTTTAAGGGTGACGTAAAGGAATCTTTTATAAGAGACCTTGTTGATTTACTACCTAAAATCACTGCCAACTTAAAGCGCATTGTTTCTGAACTCAGAGAAACGGATACTGATCAGAATCGTGAAGCCCTACAATTGTTGTTACAACTTTTAACGTCCATGTTCAATTGGAGAGGATTTCACACAGCTGTTTATAATTCATTGCTCCGAGGTAATTAAATTATATACCATAACAATATTCAATTTCATTGCTATAGTTAAAAAATATTGTTGAATTCCACTTACAGATAGTCTACGTACAATAGCTAGCCTGATGAACGAATCAAATTCTATGCTTAGATCCTGCAGGGAACTTGTTGCTGAAGCTTTTAAGTATTTTGAGTCGTTGTCAGATGTTGCTACACGAATATCCATCGCTGTTGCACTCATTAATGTGTGCAGTTCTTTAATGCAACATTCGGAAACAATGTTAAACCAACACAAGAAAAAACTTGGTAATGTGAAACATCCATATTAGATATTTAATTTTATTTAAACTATTATGTCATCCATAATATCACTTTAAATGTTATAGCGAAAATGGCTTTTGGATTTTTGTCATTGCAATGGTCCGCAGATAATAGTCAAGAGCGTATAAGCAATTCGGATTTGAAACTTTTATTGGAGATATGGATAAGTGACGATCTTCAACCTTTAAAAACAGTGATGCTCGTTATGGAATGGCTTCCGGATGAAACAAAGCAATTAAAAAAGTCGCAAGATAATTTAGATAGATTACCAACCATAACTAGAAGTAACTTCCAGTTAATGTATAAACAACTCTTCCACGGATTAGTTAAGGGCGTAAAAAGTTCATTGGATTCAAATAATCAGTAATTATTTAATATTTTCCCACCTTATAACTTCAGATTATTATATTATTTCACTAGGAATTCATAGATTAATATTACTTTCAGAGATGAGAGGAAACAAATAGAGATATGGTTAAAGACGGTGAAGATTCTTGAGAAAATGGTCGATATCTGCAACAGTTTATCAATACAAGCCAATTTGCCAATCATTCTTCACTACACGACAGTAGTCTTAAATTTCTTTGTTAAGAAGGGAATGTCAATTCTCGAACATTATCTCAAATATCAGATGAATGATGTCATCCAAATTGTGAAATCTATGCAAAGTACGCCTACCACATATTTTCATTGATCATTTAGAATTAAACAAATTATATTTTATTTCAGAAGCTACGAAGTACCTTCACAAGGTGTGTGCTGACGCCAAGCAAAATAAAATTGTAACACTAAATAAACTGATACCAGATTACAGTTCGGCACAACGAGAATTCTTACACAGAGTTCAGTGTATGATGGCTTTGAATAAAATTGATGAGGCTTTCTGGACAGGCGACATTGTTAATTTAAATTTAAAGAATACTGAAATCAGCTCACAGGTATTACTATTATTATCATTATATGCTTGCAAAAGTATGTTTTTATTATATTATATTTTTACCAATTACCTAATATGATTTCTCCGTTTTTATTTATATATTTTTATTGTTTACTATTGAATTTTTTTAGTGTACATCAGCGGATGACATCACAGTGCCAACAACAGAAACATCTGTTAATGATACAAATAATGATACTAGTTCAGAACTTTTCTGGAGCGACAACGAACAGGACCGTGAGGACGAGGCAGAAGATGATTGAAATACTTACCTTGCAATCAGTCATTACTTTCGATGCATAACATGAGTTACATAATATTAACGTTATATATTTATAAATGTATTACTTAACCGTGATACAATTTACTTATATTATTAATTTTTCATGTTTATAAAAGAGAAATGCAAATATTGTTGATTCAGTATTTGCATGATAGTTTATCATTATGTTTCTGTTATTCTCCTTCCAAAGTCACATTAAAAGTTTCATAATTCCATGTGTGATCTGGCATCAAAGTTTTCTCTACAAATTTTACGCGATTAGCACCATCGACAAGAAGTACCGAATGTGTTCGAGTCCCATAAACATTCAGTATTTCGACAAATATAGAACTCAACTCCTCATAATAATTGGTGCATCTCCTCTTCAACTCGGGATCCGGTAGACACCTTAAAAAATATACATGTGATAATTTTCCACTACAATAGTCATTGTTACTATTACATTTATATATAAAATATACTTTTCCCTATTGCCCAGTAATTTTATTAAGTCCTCTATAAGAGATTCCTCATTAGACACAGTCACATTCTCAACAATCTTTTGAAACCATTTCTTTCCAGCTTCAACTTTTTTTAATGGAGTATCCAGCAAGCTATTCCCAAAGCCAATAACATTATCCTGACAGACAACGTGACCTGGTGAATTCTCACTACTATTCAAATAATATACGGCTGCAGTTCTAAACAAAATTTAAATTTATCAAAGAGTACAACAAAACTTCCAGTATCAGCGCATAAAACATTAAACGTACCGAAGATTTATGAGAATCAAGTTATAAGGATCATATTGATTCTTTTGATTCTTTAAGTGTAATTCATTTAAGTATGACTCGGGTGACATTTCCGACGTAACATAGTCTTTCACCAGGAAGCCACGATTCTGTCCAGCAGATTCTGTAGATCTCGTTTCACCAGGAAGATTTAAAAGGACACCGGCGTGACCCTTAGTTGATAAAGATAGCCAACTACCGCCTTCCCTTCCAGGTTCCATATCCATGCCTGGTTGAATAAGGTTTATAAAACGACACCAAATAATATTTATATATGCACAATTATACTGATAATAACGAGACAAATGGATACCTCCCAAACAATGAGGATATTTCTCCCAAAAACGTGCTGGTACAGCTGGCCGATTAAAATTTTCATCGCGATTAGAAGCAACTATCAATCTATAATTATTTGCATTAGCGTAAATATTACGGTATACAAATAGAATGCACATAGCTCAAAATATATTATGCATAGATATATTACGATAGATATATAGTACGTATATGAAGAATTCTAGATGGTCGCTTGTGCACTGACAAGAAGTTGTCAGTGCTAATGATTATCAAGCCACTGTTGTCATAGTCGCATGTGATAACATTTGTGGAAAAAAATATTATCTTTGATAATAAATCAGGCCTTTGGTATTTACACTTAATGATTTTTTTCTCTAATTTTTATATGTATTATTTCACCTGCAGTAGTAAACAGCTGACTGCTGCTGATTGCGTAACAGACATGACTACATGCATAGTATATGTATACATACATTATATTCGTTTTAACATGCAGTATATCGAATTTTACATAGCCGATATAATAACATTGAATTCTGTAGGATCCATGTGTAGGATATATAAAAAGTAACAGTGCTATCATGTATAATGATATCATTAAACTCTACGGATTCCTTTTTTTAATTGGTACATATCGTCTTTACAAGGAATTATAAAGAAACAAACCAATAAGAAGTGTATAAAAACTGTTGCATATATTCATAACGACATTCGTCTAAAATATGACTGGAAATTAAAATATCTGTAATATTTCATTCGTGTGTATTTACAATGTTTTATTGTACCTTATAAAGCTTGGATTCGCTCCCTACAAAGATTCTCTTGAAAAATATTTCTTGTTACTATTGTGCGACATGGAAATTTTTTGGTAAACAATATTATAGTTGGGTGACAAGAATGTGTTTTTATAATATCTCTTCAATTCGGGAATGTTCGCACACTTTTTTTTTCTCCATTTCCGAAGCATTGAGTTGGAGTGTCCTCGGACACCCTACGCACCTACTCCTGGGCTAATAAAAGTATAGCTAGAGACTATTTACCAATGTGACTTTTGACTGAGGTCCAACAATCAGATAATTTAAACATACAACTTGTAGGATCAGCAAATCCCCGCCTTGTTATATGTATGTACAAGCATAGATATAACTCTTTGGTAAACAAACACTACTTAAATTCTAAATGGGAATTCTTTTGTTACTAGACACACTATCTGATATACAATAAAGAGTACAGAATAAGATCGTGGGACGTAAAAATATTTTTTACTGACTATTATCTTCAGACGCATCACAGAATTTCAAGATTCATCTATAATACGAAATATCAATCGTCTTCAAGGCGAACGGAATTACCTAAATCGTCAAACTTTTATTCGGTGATTAAGATAATCATGGATTTATCGAAGACTAGATCAAGACAGATCTGATCTAATATAATTACTTAGTTTATCTTGTTATGTGATTAGGATAATTTTTTCGTAGGATGTTTTTATATTAAAAAGTAATATAATTGTATAGTCGATTCAAGTGAGATCAGTTCTACTTTGAAGGGTCGTATCTTTCGTTTTCTTTTTCCTTTTATGGATTCATCCCTATCAAAGAGGACAAATACCAGAGGATCATCTTTTTATAATTGATAGTGTAAATTAGTTCTCCAAATGTAGAACTGATTTCGGGGCTGGAACAAGTTAAGTAATGGTACAGCTTGAATATTACAGATAACCAATAATCGGAGATACCCTGAAAGGTTGCGAGGAATATATTACGTACGGTAGCTTATATAAATATATAAATAATGTCGATAGTAATTGTTCTAGGCGATAGGAAATACATTATACAAATATCTCTTATAAGAATCCATAGATAATGGATTAGTACTGCAATATGAGGGAATGAATGTATGGTTGAATTTTTTATAACTTTATGGGCCTTGGATTTTGCATTGCCTGTTTTAAATCTTTCTCGATAATTAAAACAGTCCTCATTGAAAAAGCCTAGCGTCTAATGAATTTTCTTTGGTAAAGTATTTTGGAACAGAACCAAATGATTATACACAAATTCATGCGTGCTCGCTCGTTTTATTAACAATTATAAAAAAGACTAGTAGCAGATTGTCAGTAATGGAGTAACAAGTAACATATACTCCAACTGCAATACAATTGATTGAATGAATTAAGTTTGAAAATTATGATATTTCCATGAGCCGTTACACGGTAAAAGTTGTTCGTTTAATGAAAGTATTGCTTCTTTGTTCGTTTGCAATGTTTGATACAAATCTTACGGTCATGGCCAGAAATTGAAATTAATTCTCTTTGAAAATTCCTCTATGTAGCCAAAATCCCAAAAGATTTTTTAATGCCCGATGTTTCTGGTAACGAAACTACCCATTTTCTCAAACCAGTGAGAAGAACGGAGCTCGTAACTAGAACTGCGCCGCCGACCGAATATCTATTAGGTATCTCATTGAAGAATAACACTTGCCAGAAAAAGGCGAATACTATATCGGCGGATCTTGCGATGGCAACAGGACCAGCCTGCTCCATTTGTAGAGCAAGAGTGAGTAAAATTTGTCCACCGAAGCTAAAGAGAGCTAATGCAACAACCAGGAGACGGTCAGTACCACAACGTGGTAAACAAAGTGCACCAATCGCCCAGGAAACGGCGACAGTTTGAATCAAAGCAAAGGAACCGAAATTCGTCATTATCACTGAAAAGTGTAGACCTTTTAAAGCTCGAAGAAGAACGTAAGCATTGGCTCCAAATAATGTCGCTGAGAATGCAGCTACAGCACCCCAGAGGTCTGCATGCTCAGTGCGCACATGACTGTCGGATAAAGATTCTATAGTATGACCAAATATCAAGGGAGGTCGAGTGATAAGAATGACACCGATCAATGTCAGGCAGACTGTAATGACATTGAATAGGCCACAAGGTTCCTTTAAGAATATTCTTGCAAATATAGCTACAAAAACAGGTACAGAGAAAACAACTACAGATGCATCAGCAAGGGGCATGTGTCGAAATGCATAGAAACTTAACATGAGGCCTGTTGTGCCAACAAAACTTCTTAATATTAACATTAACCTACGTCCCTTTGGAAAAGGATCTTCGCCTTTGTATATAACAATCGGTATTGCTGGCAGTAGAACACCCACAAAGCGAAATGCAGCTAACTCCATAGGATTCACTTCTACTAATCCTTTGACTATTACACTGCACAAGGAGAAGAAAAGGGAAGACAGAGTTGCAAGTATTAAACCCAAGTAAGGGCAGCTACAGCATTTTGAAGCCAGTGGTTTCTTGCGGTGATTTGATGGTTCGCACTCCACATCTCCATCCACCAAGTGCTGCAGCTCCAAATGTTCTGACATTCCTGGAAGAGATATTTTAGAATTAAACAAAGTATACTAACAGCATATAAAGAATAAATGATAATTTTATGCTGGTATAGAGTATAGAAATAACATAACAATGGAAAACAAGATACATGTGGATTATGCATGAAGTTGTTTTCTATAAAGTTTCTAGCTTGTCTGCAAGTGCACCAATTCAGAATATACTATATAATAAATGGAGAATAACTTACTAAGCCTTTCACTTCCTGTTCCTCTCATTGAATAATTACAAACTTGTGTATAAATATAACTATAAACTAATTAGCACCACTCGACAATATTAGGAGTAGATAGCCAAAAATTGTTCACATGATTATGTTCATATATCAATCAATGAATAACTAGCTATAGTTCAGTGCACGCCATCCTCTTTACATGAGATTTAATGCAATTCCAATTTGCAAGTAACGACTTGCAATCTGCAGGACCGGCAGTGCTTGCAGTCTCAAATTACAGATTTATCATAAAATTGCAGATTGTTACCTAAGAAGTAATAATAGATAGAAGATGACAGTACATATATTGGAAGTGGTTTGATTCTTGGGTCATAATCAGTAGTGTTACCTGCTGCCATTCGTAGCGTCAGTGTTACAACCTTTGCGATTTATGATTGGCTGGCTAACACGCGGGAAAAAAAAAGAAGAAATTACCTTATACCTTTTCGACAAATTAGAAGACTTAACAACATGCGTTGGATCTAATTTATAACGTTACAACTTGATGCTCCTTGCCCATTTGATCGCTACTTACTGCATTTGTTGTACAAGACCCATAAGAGGAACCACACAGAATACTTCACTATGGATTAATGGCTAATTTCTTCACCTTCGAATAAAATGTATCCCGCGGATAAACTTCTAAAACATGAAAATGATTGGTTAACTGGAGATTTATCCACGGAATAATTTTTATCCGAAAGTGAAGAAATTGGCCATAACTGTGATATCCAGTGATCCAGATCCGGATTTTCATAAAATACAGGCACCTGATTAGCTAATCGCATTAATTAAACTTCGGTTATCTTTGGTGAAACCGACCCTAGTTGAGTTCTCCTGAATTCTATTGCGATATTTTCCGCTTGTCGTGTAACCCTATCAGTTTTAGATGTCACAATAATGAACTTATTCGCTACTTCTTTCGGCATCAGATTCTTTACGCCCTTGTAAATATATCCTTCCTTCCTTTCCTTATGGCTGACTCCTCCAATGAGGAGATGTGCCAGTAACTAGTCCTAAAGTCAGGTTGGAAAGATTATGCTGGACTCTAGATGTTAGAGTGCGTTAGAGTCTTCTTTGAGTAGCCAATCGAATCAGTAAGGCGACACGTCCTGTGGACGAGCATAAGCCTTGCATAACGTTTATGAGTAGTATGTAGGTGGTGTAAGTGATGTTCCGCGTTGTATGTATTATATGTAGTTTAAAGAGATCTTCTATGTTTATGCGTAGTATGTAGATGGCGTTAGTGATGTTCCATTGAATGATCCAGCTCAGGATGGAAAGATTAAGCTGGACTCTAGACGTAGAGTGCGTAAAGTCTTCTTTGATTAGCCAATCGAATCAGTAAGGCGACACGTCCAGTGGACGAGCATAAGCCATAACTTTTATGAGTAGTATGTAGGTGGCGTTAGTGATGTTCCGCGTTGTATGTATTATACAGATTGAAGATGAGTGGAGGTAGTTTAAAGAGATCTTCTATGTAGAGAGCGATCAAGAATGCATCCAAGAAGACAACAGTGCAGTGTCGTTTGGGAAGGATACAAAAGAACCAGGATCAGGAGTTGAAAAAAGAAGACTAAAGGGACCTTAACATGAAGGGACCTAACAAGAAGACTTAAACATTTTTAAGTGGCATCAGGTACGAAATGGAATTAGATGAAGAGCATCGCGTCAGTTGGTTTGCCCTGGACTGAATTAACAAAGATAGCGCGAAAGTTCTTAACTGGAGTGCATCTTCATATTATTCTGCTTATATGTAAAGTAAGCGAAACGACAATAGTAAGCAGTTGAATAAACGATCAAATTCTAGAAATACAACTTCCGAAAGAAGTAAAACATACAGATGTTTCTGGCATCTGGCTAGTGCACCCGGTTATGAATCGGGAGGTCTATGATTCGAGACCCCTCTATGGAGAGCATTTCTGGTTCAAGTCTTGGAACTGAGCATTGCATTGACAGGCCTCAGAGGAGGCAGCACGGATTCTATGAAGGTGAGCTCTAGATGCTGTATGGTTTGTGCGGAGCCTGTTAATTTTAACAATATCATCTCTCCTTCAGTCTATATTGGTAAACCAACCCTCTATGGAGAGCATTTTTTTTACAAAAAAAAATGTGCTTTTGCAAATGGGATTAACAGATTAAAGAGTATATCCAATTAATTTATGTATCTTATTACAATAAAGGCATAAACAACGACAACCTGCGGGCTTCCACATCACCCAAGAAGTGCCGCCGTCGATGCGTTCCCACTATTTAACTATATTGGTAAACCAAGGACAGCCCAAGGTGGGAGGAGACCATTTAAAGAAATTGATTCCCTTATGCTGGGCTTGATCAGCAAGATAGTCATAGGCCTTGGATTTCATCCTACTTTTACAGTGCACAGCAAGATCAGACCAGACTACTTTTCGTGATGAGATGCACTCCAGTTAAGAACTTTCGCGCCACCCTTCTCCACGTGGACGAGAAAAGAGAATAAAATAAACTGTGGATCGATGCGTTCCCATTATTTAACGTAGCGCGTCCCCAATAGGCCTACACTACGATCAGCCTATACTATTTTTCAAGGTTCCTCTCTTTCAAATTTTCTCGGATGCCCAAACTTTATTTTAAGCTTATATAAAATTTAAAAAAAAAAGGTTGTCATCGGGATCGAAAATCATTTTCTATTAACTGACAATATTCTCTTTCGCAATATCCTTCATAGTAATAAAATAAACATAAGACGTGTTACGTCTTGTTTCCTTATAACTATTAAAGAACTACTTACCATGATGCTGCTGCCTGTACGACTGTGAACGACCTGACGCTGCAGGCCCCAATGTGTATTGCTAGTCGCGTGATAGTTAGCAACATTGTTGCAGACGCCCGCTCAGATTCGATCCGTCAGATTCCTAGACTGTTGTGTTGAAGTCGCCAGTACGTGATCTCAATAGACCGATATACTATTCTTCCCAATT